CACCATTTCTGGTTTAGATTTAGAAGCTCAAGTTCTGCCCTGAGTCCTTACTCTTTGGGCTTGGCCCCTAGCCAGTAAAATAAATTCTGGTTTAACAAACATGTATTTGATGCAGATTTTACTGACCTACCTTGTTGCCCATCTCATCTACCCCCCATCTGTAATGTTTCCCTTTATAGTTAGCTGTATTTCTAGCAATGCAGATGTATATGAAAGATTGTGAGTGATTCATGGATTTGATTGGCCTGATTGCCCACAGATTAAATCATTTTGTAGTGTTCCTGTCTTCTACATTCATCTTGCCTCTAAACAGAAATTAAATTATCTGGGGATCTGTGGTCACCATTGCAGGTAATACCTGCAAGGCAGAGAGCTCATCCCAACAAGCAGCCATTTCTGCAATGGTCTTCTCAGGAGTTGCAGAAATAAGAGGAAAGGTATTTTATTTCTGGGTGTAATTCCATTCTGAGGCATCTCTTGCACTAATATGTGACCAGATACCGAAGATCCAGTTTGCCCCTATGAGCAATACAGCAGCTGAAGACCTTCCTCTAAACCCTGCATATAAAGAAGCTGGTATTTTGCCATGACTTCTATCATCTTCCACTTCTGAGGACATTTTACTCTTGTTAAGAGTAATCAGGCATGCAGTAAAAGAGAAAAAATAAAATATTTTAGTTAGAATTGGCTTACACCAAGTAGTCACATCCCAAAATATCTGAAATAGTAAGAAGCATGAAAAAGAAATTATGTACCAACACTTTCCACTGGAGAACAAGCACATGAATGCTGACAATCATATTCATTCTTCATGTTTAAAACTGATATGAGTTTATCTAAGATTTTAGTGTGGTACAATTGCTCTGAGACTGTGAGAGACCAGTGAAACATAAATGTTTTTGTAGTGATCGTCACACTACAGATATGCAAAAAAAAATGAAACAAAGAAACAAATTTATGTTTCTTTGTTCCATGGTAGACAAAAGCGATATTCAAAATGTGATTTGTTTTCTGATAGTGAAACCAATATGAACAATTCAACTTTTAAGAAAAATACATCAAGCCTCCAGCTTTGAAACAAAGCAGGAGCTAAAAGCTTACAAGCAGACCCAGGCTGTCACTGGCAGTGTGATCAGCTTCCCTGTATTTATCCTGTGACAAATCTTTTGCCACTCTTTTCTCAGGTGAGCTGTCCTTCCATAGGTAAGGTTTTACTGCTCCTGTACACTTTATCTGTTTGGGATGGGAGTGCTCTGCCATTGCAGAAGGCTGCAGAGGGCAGATGCGGTGACAGGATTACCGCTGACTCGTTTTTCAAGAAAAGATTAGGAGCAAAGGTGGGACGTGGAAAATCACAGTTTCCATTTTCAGACGCCGTTTTTGAAACTTACTGTTTTCCTAAACAAAAACAGTGATCGTGGGGGTACTACATCTAGGGGTGAGGCCAAGCGAAAACTCAGTACCAGCACAACCGCATCATCCTGGGTGCTCACAGACCTCAAGGGATGAGCCAACACGAAGTAACAGAACTGCAGAAAACCAGCAGACACAGAAGGATCTGCCACCTTCTGTTGCTAGTGAGGACGCTATAATGACGGAAATAATTAGTTAATCTTTAGTTTAAATAAAGCATTGGGGGAAAAGGCTAAAAATAAACACTGATTCATTCCTTGTCAGGGAAGTTTCTCCTGTCAATTATCACATTGTTACTGCTGTTTTTAATCTAGTCAGATGGTGAGATTGGCAAATCCCTTCTGCAGGGGCTTCTGGGTGTTATTCTGTAGAGAATCTTGCTTGAAGGACTGATTGCTGCTTTTATGAGAGCCAGTGGGAGTTTGGCCACAGTCCTTCACGCATGTTAATTTGAGGGACTTCCAAATGTTAGCTAATGATCTCAGGCTTCTTTTTATGAAAGATGTGTGGGTATGTTTTGGAGTTTGTTTTTGTTGTTTTTTTGTTCTTAATCCCTAGCAGGAGGCAATTAAGAGGCTGTGGGGAAAGTTCTATACTGAAGCACTGGATCAGCCTCTCCACAGCTCCTACATACAACCCTATAGCATGAAAAACGGAGAAGCATAATGCTCCGATACTGGAATACACGGGCTCTGAGCACCCTCAGCTGTGGGTGTCACAGAATCACAGAATGGCCAGGGTTGGAAAAGACCTCAAGGATCATGAAACTCCAACCTCCACATTTAAACCAGGCTGCCCAGGGCCCCATCCAATCTGACTTTGTGAACTGCAGAGGAGCTGGACTGGATGACCTTCAAATGTTCCTTCCATCTCAAACGTTTCTATGATTCTATGAAATTGCAGTTGAAGATGCTCGTATTATTATTCACCCAGACCAGACCATACGCCCTGCATCGCTGTGGGCCGGGTGTATTTATTGGTGTCCACTTACGATAACTTGAAAAAACAATTACACTTCTATTTTCTGGGCACAATGCTAACGAAGAGGCGGCAGCCTCCACCCCAGGGCAGGAAAACACGGCAACACAGCAAGGAGAGGCCGTGTAGGTGGGGAGTTTCACTGCTGCCGGTGCTATGGAACCTCACGTAACTGTGAAGAAGTGGAGAGGAAAAAAAACATTGCAGCAGATAGAAAGCCAAGGGCGTGAGCCCAAGCGAGCAGCAGGACTGCGGCTCTGAAGCTCACGGAGGCTCTGGGCTAAACTCTGTTCTGGGAGCTGAGAACAGACAAAAGCCGTCGCCCTCCCCTTTCCCTCCCTAAGACTTCACTCCCGGCCGCGCTCCGGCCACAACCACGCACCGCCCGCCCCGAGCCACCACCAGGCCGCGCCCGTCGGGCCGAATCCCCCGCACCGCGCCGCAGCCGCGCAGGCTCGGGCCGGGCCGCGCCTCTCGCCCTGCCTGCGGCCGCGGCTCCGGAGGTGAGAGGGAGGCGGGCCGGGGGTGGGGGGGCGGCAAGGGGCTCGCTGCCGGGCGGGCGGGCAGCGGCCGGGGCTCCCCTCCTGCTGCGGGGCCGGGGCCTGGGGGCTGAGGGACGGCCGACCCCTGGGCGTGCTCCAGGGGAGGCAGGGCGGGCCGGCCGGCCGGGATTCTCTCCAGAGTGAAAGCGGGGCGGTGATGCTGCGGTTTTGTTTTTGTTTTGTGCCCAAATCCAGATGACGCGGTGAGGGGCGGTGCCCAGAGGGGATGCGAGAACGGGCCCGGCGGCGAGGGCAGCGATGCTCAGCAAACACCTCAGTGCACACGGCCATCACCCAGAAGGTACGAAACGAAAGGTTAAGTGCGAGAGGAAGGAAGCGGCTTCCATCACAGGAGGCCTGCAGCGGGGCCGGCTCTGCGCTCCCTTCCACTCTGGGACATTCCCCATACATCCCTCCTTTGGCACATTCACTTTTCCACGCTCAAAGAGCGTAAAGTGACAAAATGCCTTCCACCCAGCAGAAGACAAAGAAATGCACCCATCCAAATCTCAGGCCAGAGTCTGTCTGGCCTGGGATGAATGCTGGACCGCAGTACCCGGGAATGGGATTTCTCAGAAAGCCAGGAGCCAGGCAAAAATGGACCCTGTCATTCTGAGTCTGAATATGAAAACAGCTTGCGAAACATTTTTTCAGGCTTTGTAACAAAAGAGTTGGTCTTTTTTTTGCTCTGGTATCTAGGCTACATTGTGCATGCTCACGCCTATCACTGGTTTTATTCACATGAGTAATTCCATTTGAATTTGGACCGACGACTTGCATGTGTAAAGTTACTCATATGCTTTCTGTCTTCTTTATATATTGAAATTATGCGGGTTTGTACTTCTTCCATTTCCTGGTGCAGCCCAGTAGCTGTTGGCATCAAGGTTATTGTGAAGCAGCAAAGCCATTCTGACTTTGCGTGCCTGACGCCTTTTCTTTCCTCGCCAAACTACAACTGACTACTCCTTTGTGTGTGATCTATTCCAGCTATGCAATCATATCTTGTTTTTATGCAACCATCTTTCATGTGAGTGCTTAAATTATTTTCTCTGTAAAAGATCCTTTTTGTACTGACAGTCTTACCAGTTGTGCCATCTGATTCTTTTTCAACAAAGAAGTCATGATGTCTTTTATGAATTCTACTACAATGTATCATCTAAATTCATTGCAATTCTACCATCATATCTGAATGTTTTAATATTTGCCAGCTGGAATATTTTATTGTTCTCATTGTCAAAGGCCTTCTCTTTCTGCTTTCTTCAAGCTACAGCTTCTGCAGTTCTCGCAGCCTTGTATATTGTCTCTGTCCCATTGTTCTGTGCTATTCTTAAGGGCAAAATGTTTCTGGGACAGGAAAAGCACATTGTCTGTCTTCCATAAAGTATGGTGTTATATTGAGTTCATAACCAAGTGTAACCTTAGATGTTTCTTTTCCTCCATCAGAGACTATAAACAATAAGCAAGTAAAATTATGTGCATACATTTTATTACTAAAGTTAACACTTTTTAACTGATGTACCCTCAGCTGTGCATTATATACCATAATACTGTAATTCATGCCCGAGGATAGCAGGCAGACAGTGCAGCCACCAACTCATCTCAACTGCATCTTTTCTTCCTAACCTAGAACATTTTGTTGTTCAGTGCAAGTAGAGTCGCCCAGAGGAGATAAATTACCTGGAAGTTGTTTTAATGGCATTTCACAAGTTGTCAAGAAGACACATTCAGTTACACCTGAGTACAGATATATTACATTGAACCTCCAGGCATCTACCTACTCTATCTTGAAGGAATCCAGCTAGTAATGTTCTTGTGAAATCCCCACAAGACGCCTTCTAGGAATGCTGAAAGCTGCTGTTTCTGAGTGGTTGGGTGATGACCTGTGCTTTGGAATGGCCTTCTTGCACTGGTGAGAGTACAAGTTGTTTCCAAGGAAAGGGTAAAAGGCCAAATCCCTATTTGTCTGCACTTTGCGGTGGGAGTTTCATCTGTGTGGATGAAAGGAACTGTGTGAGAACCAGGAGCTGTCTTTTCTCCCTGTGCCTTATCTAGAACATGAAGAATTACCTGTTTGTCTCAGCTGATGTCCAAAGGATCATCTTTTTGGTGTGACACTTTACAGTCAGGCCATCTATCCTGGGTACATAGTCAGACCACAAGACAGAACGAGCACTTGCCGTCGCTGCGGATGGAGTGAGCAGCATGACCTTAAATAAAAATAAAAAAAGATAAGACTTCTAAAATTAGCATGCCTTCTAGGTCCAGAAGTAAATAAAACCCATATACACTCACATTTATTACCAGCATAAACTTTTGATCAGGGTTGATTGGGAAATTTATATTTCCATTAAGTGCCAAAACTGTTTCACTTACTGATGCCTGTTTCTGTTACTTTGGGAAGCTCTTTCCCAAAAACTTAACTCAAAAATTGGTTTGCAGTCAAGTGGTTAATTGCAGTTGTGGGAAAACAGATTTAATGGCTTACCTGGGGAGATCTACCACTCAAAATTATATAGTCTTTTTTTTTTTCATTTATAAAAAAAAATCAGATTCTAATTTACTAAGGAAAATAAACAGAAAATAAGGAGAAATATATGTATTTATGTTTCATCTGTACCAGAAGACTTATTTCAATGGAGTGAAAAAGGTGATTTCTTCTATAAACAAAGATGTAACAATTCCAGAAATATTTTAGTGAATTATTTTTTCCAGATACCACTCCTTCCACAATATTTGGGAAATAGATGAAACATTTACTGCATTATCCCAAACTGAGTTGTGATGGCTTTATTAAAAAATAGGCAATATACTTAGCACACATAAAATATATTTATATTTTTATAAAGGTATTATAAATATATTTATACTGCTTTATTTTACATTATTATATGTAAAGGACTTAAGGACTTGTTTTATAATAGGCAGTAGTGCTACACGCTAATGAAGACAACAGATTTCTTCTGGAAAAAAATACAGAAAGAAGATAACAATAAGGTCAGTTAACAAAAGAAAAACACCACAAAAAAAAAAAAAAAAAAAGAAAGAAAGAAAGAAAAAAAAAAAGATAATAAATCTGCAGTGCTGAGCTTTAACATGACTGGGAAATGAGTTAAAGAAAGACGACGGCTTACCCGCAGCGCTCCAGAAGCAGGCAGGCAGCCGCTGTTCTCAGGGACAGATACTGCAGTCTCATCTGCTCTGCAGTAAGGGTGCGTTGCCCTCGGTGCTCCAGGTACACTCCAGGAATAGTAGCTGTGTGCCAGAGAACAGAAGAGATGTTATATACAAGTGCTAATTACATGTGGCTGCTTTGGAGTAGTCGCTTCATTCAGAATACCTCTTCACTACAGAACGCATTCGGGAGCGCTGAAATGTGACAGTGATAAGAAAGTCATCCTGAATTCACTTGTACAAATTCACATAAGAGCTATTTAACATGAAAGCCTTTCAGATGTTCTGTAAATTTTCAGGTCTGTGCAGTCAGCTTTACGAGGAGTACAGGGATGGTACTGTTTGACCCCAAAGTGCCGGCCTTCCTCCCTGCATCAGAGCAGAGCCGTGCGTCCTGCCGTATCTCCGTGTCTCACGGTGCCCTGTCCTTCAGCTGCCAGCTTCCACCTCCTTCCCTGCACCCCGGCTCCTCCGGCTGCACGCTCAGTCACACAGGATCTGCACATTTACAGCACAAAGCAAGGCACTCAGAATTCTAACTAATATGGGAATATTACAGTTATTCTGTACTCCCAGAACAACCCCGCGCTTGTTGGAATGCTGAAATCCTGAAGCTGAGCATCTCTGAGAATTAGTTTCTGTATTATTTCTGTTTTATTTTTAACCCGGAGACAGTTCCTAACTACTTCAATTTAGGAAATAACAAAACAGCAAACCTTGAGTTACTGAGAGTTAGCACACATGTTAAAGCAGTGGCAGTACATGTGATGTGCTGAAAAAAACCCCACAAACCCTTCGTTCTAAGCTATTCCAAACAAACAAAACAAGTGGTTTTGTTCAAAACAGGCTTTCATAACTTCCTTACAATTTTTTGCTCCAAGATTTTTCTTATTCGTGCAGTCGTGTTGGAGCAGCTGTTAGAATAAGGCCAGGACGAAAGCAAAGGGTTGACGATAAGTAGAATCAGGAAGACCTGCTCAAATTAATTGTTTTTGAAGAGCACTGAAGCATCCAGAAGAAAATAACGTACTGTGCACAGAAAGGTGCTGAGGGCTGAGCCATTAACAACAGCAGAAATTCCTTTTTTCCCCCACCGAGTGATTCCATTTCTCAGTGTGTTCCAAAAGGCTCAATTCTCTTAAATCTGAAACTTTTCTGTCTATTGAAAACAGATGGAAATGAACGGGGGGACCCAGGTAGAAGAAGAGCTTTAATGAGCATGTATTTAAGAAATACTTCAATAAACCATTCGTCTGAGAAACCACATCTAATAGAAATATAAATAATTATCTAATGAGCATATAAACTACATTTCCTGGAGTCATTTCTGTCTTTCCACATTTCCTGAATTATTTTCATTATGAAGCAGTAATGTGGCACCATTAATTGATGAGCGCTCTGTGCTGTAGTTACTGTGCTAATTGCAGCTCTCGAGGTCCTCGTCTCCACCGTCTGACAATCGGGATTGATTGCAGGGGGGTTATTTTTAGTGGGAAACGGCAGAAGAGTTTGGAGAGCAGCAGCCATTTCTTGTGCGTTACAGCTGGCTTGGGAAAAGTTGCACAGCAATGTCCCGAGCTGTCTTTTGGGGTTGGATTTTTGTTGTTGTTTTAAATCCTGCTGAATTTAGAGCTTCCTATTGGATAATTAATCTTGCTTTCACAAAGTTGAAGCAGAGAGTATAGCTCATGGCATTGGTTGCAGAAGAAGCGCAGATTTCCTCTGGAAGCAGGACTTGTAATGGGGGCAGACGGTGAACTTTATGAGTCTGGCTCTTTACAAAGGCAATCTAGGAGTCAAGTTTATAATTAAAGATACCATCGATGATTCGAGCTGGCTAACTTATCCAAATTGTGGAATGAAGCAGTTTGTTCATTGATGTGTTCAGTGATTGCGGGTCTGCCTCCACGTGCTCTATGCCCACGCTCAGCAGGTGAGAATGGCAGGAGACCCCTAAAGCCCTTCTGTCCTGCATCCTGCTCTCCTGCCCTACACGGAGCTCAGCCAAGGTTGGCAAACACGTGGATTGCAGTTTGTTGCTGATCTACTGTATGAAATCAGGAGCATCTTCTGTGGATGTTGATATAAGGGGAGTCAAGGTTTGTGTAGGAAGAATAATAGTGAGAAATATTTAGGAAGAGGAATAACCAGTTTTAACTGGGAACAAATAAAAGTCAAGGGGACAAACTCTTTTTACCTTTGTTAAGTATTAATAGCAGATAATAACCTATCAACTTTTTCTTTCCTATTAAATTGTATCAGAAGTAGCAGTAACGCATCAACAAACTTACAGTGCTTTACCACTGAGGTGTCTTTGTCCCCATTTCTCTGTGGAAGTAGCTGAAAAACAGAGTAACTGGGTATGGCTGCACAGGTTTGGTCGAGTCAGAGAGGAGCTGTATTTCATGGCTTCAGCCTTTTTCCTTTTCAGTGGCATGCCACAAAGCATTATGGACTTAGGCACATATAATGCATCATTGATTCACAACTGCTAGTTTGCCTGGGGAAAAAAATAAAGAGACACACACCATTGTAAATGCTGCCAATCTTGTCTTCTTTCAGACAAAATGCTAAAAGAAAAAAAAATAAATTAATGTCATAAAATGAATTTAGCTCAGTTTGAATAGCTCGCCTTAACAGAATGGCTGCAAGGGATTGTCTTGCAATGTTTTTATCACTGAATCTATTCCAGTCTTACAAATGGTAAATCTCAGAGCAAAACTTTAGAATAAATGAAACAAAATTAGATAGGATTAGACGCATTCCTCATTAATATGCTGTAGCTATTTTCCATAGCTTGTTTTACCGTAATCTTTCTTTTTCCTCTGATCACATACAGCCTGTCCTGCAGGGATCGGTGCTGTAAGCAATTCCTGGGCACCCTCCTGTCATTGACACTGGGATTGTGAAGTGCAAATTTCATCAGCAGTGAAAATACAGTTTTTGCAAATGGAATAGCTAGTTCCTGAAGCTTCTCACTTGTAGCACGCTGTCCAATTTTAGCATTGCGATTTCAGGAGTCAAATAATAGTTCAGACAGGGGCTTTATAAAGTACAAACAGCTGAAACTTGCTACAGGTATCTCTGAGGAGCAGTCAGTGGCATCAGAGGGATGCTGGGCTGTAGGAAAACTGAAGGACCTGGGATAATATGCGTGCTCCTGAAAGCGCTCCCCTGCACTGCCTGGGGACAGCTGAGCTCTGTCTCCAGCTCAGCACACCGTGATGGAGTCGATCCCATTTTAAGGAGGCAGCTCAGCAGGTACCACGCCGGCCTCATCCACAGCACAGGAGGCTGCTGCTGTTTTAAATGTGAGCTTGCTTTTGACAAAGGACTCAGCTGAGAGAGGCACAACTAACATTGCCAGGATCAATTCTCAAAAACTTCAGGCTTTGGAAAACAAGGGGACCTTCGAGCATATGAGAAAGCATTTAAAGAAGGGATATGCATTTGTGCTCTTTTGTGTAAGTACCTCCTGAAACAAGGTGTGTGGGATCAGAGGCCGAAGACTGAAAACTCTTGGAAACAAAACGCTCCCATAAGAAGGGAAGTAGAAGGCCAAAAGAAAGTTTAAATTACCGTTTGCAGGAAACTGTACCCAGGTGTGGTTTCTGATCAGACAAGAAGCATTTCTGCTTTTTTGCCATTTCCTGGTGAATTAACCTGGAAAACAAGCTGTAATTCAAGGCCTTTCCCCTGAGAGGAGAGCCTTTGAGCGCCGCACGGCGGCCATGCTCAGCATACCCACAATCTGAAGACCCAGCACCCCAAGCACCTGCTTACACCTCTGCTCCTGACATGCCAGTGTGCTGCTCTCCCACAGGAAACTCCCCATTGTGACTTCTGTATGCAGGAAGGCTGTGGGCAGCAGAGGCAATAACGTTTCTCTGTGGATGTAAATGGATTTATTGCTGTACATCTGGGGCAAATTTGGTATGCTGTCTTTTTATTATTATTATTATTAGAAATAATTGGGCTAAGTACCTTTAGGTTCATTATGTTTCCCTTGCAACTAGTCTAAAATCAAAATAATGGATTGCTGCACATTCATTACACTGAGCTCAGAGTTTATGCACAGGGCTGCTATGCACAGGGTGTGTCTGTACCAACAGATCCTTACCTGTCTTTTTCCAGTCCTGGATCCCAAAGGGGAATCCAGCTCTCATTGAAACAGTCTTGAAATCGGGAGTCCTTGTAATCTCACTTGGTGATGTCACCGACACAAATCCCAGAATTTGACCTGGTGTTGATCTGTAATGCTTCATGGGAAAATGTACTTTAAAACACTGGGCATTGCAAGTTTTGAAGGGGCTGAGAGATGAGCTGTAGTCCTGGTGTTCCCATCTTCACAGAGCACAGTGACATCTTGTGGCAAATTAAGGGATAGTGCCTTCTTTTTTTTTTTTCCAGATAGATCCTAATTTCAGCTGTTTCAGGGATGAAACAGCTGAGAAAATTCTGGACAAGTGGTAATGAATTACTTTTATCTGTGTATTTGCCCTTTCCCAATTTTGTTTCAAGTACAGCTTACCTGAAACTCACAGAGAAAACAGACAGAACCTTGGTTTCTATCTGCTGCAGGTGCAGGACGTTGTAGTTTGTGGCTTCTGCTCACCAGCATGCTTTGGAAAACAGCTCCAAGAACACGGCTGTCCCAGGCTAGCTGACATAAGGCTCTGAATCAGCACTGCACATGCTTTTCTCTGGTTATCACAGACAGCAAAAATGGTCAGGATGTGATTGATGGGAATGAAAAGAAAATGTTGGAATCTTTTATCATAAAGCAGAAGCTATTTTTCCCTCCCATCATCTTTTATTTTTATATCTAGTTTTTTTAATTTATATATATATATATATATATATATATATATATATATATATATATATTTGTCTTTTTACAGACCAAGGAGGGTCTAACCCCTGCCTGTGATGCTGTGGACCCTCCCCTGGCACTCTGTGCAGTTGGTACTTGGATAGGATCCTACTCGTCAGCATGAAAGGAAAAGCTGCACGCTGCGACTGGAAACGTGCAGCCCAGAGGAAGGCCTCTCCCTGCGATCGATACAAACACGCCTGTGCTGTCTGCAGAGGATTTGTTTACCTCTATGGAGGGCGGAACACCACCAGTCTCAGAGATTTTTGGCGGTACAATATAGGTAAGTTTGCCCCTTTGCTTACTGGTCAAAATAAGAGAGAAAAATGCATCTGGTCATCCTGAAACAGGGGACACTCCAGAGCTGACAGCTTCTCTGGTTAGTGTTTCTCCACCAAAATAATGTTGTACCTCAAGCAGCTACCTAAGCTTTGTAAATGTTTTCAGAGATCAAAGGATGCATGAACTACGTTATGATCATTGGGCAAACGGTGGGATTGTTCCTGGTGTAGGTGTCCCAGAAAGCTTGGATTTGAGCTCTTTTGTTTGGCCAGAAATACTGATTCATTTACAACGTCCCATTTCTAGCTAAGGATGTGACAGAGATTTATTGAATCTTTAACATGGGAATAGTTTATTCATGGAAGAGTGCACAAAAGGAGTGCATGAATACAATACCTTGTAAGACTGCATTAGTAATGCACCATCAAATATGACATTTTCTGAGATTTAATGTATAGTGTTTCCTGTTCAATTGTTGTTAGTAGATAAAACTCAGAACTGCGTTCATGGAATAGCTGGGTTCATGGAATAGCTACCTGCATAGCATTAAAATAACAACCAAACTGCCATTCCACATACGTTTGCTATATGGAAAAATGTACTTAATTGTGGAATTGTGGGGGAGGTGCCTCAGTCTTCTGAACTAACAGGGGAGAGATGACCCAAGGCTTTATTTTAAGATGGCCTGCATCAGAGCAGCAGTTTTTCACTCTTCTTAATAGAAAAGCAGGAAAATGAGGAGATGCTTCTTAACCTTCACGCCTCATTGACCCTGGGTGTGCAGCCACATCCAAAGCTGATCCTTTCACCTTTTTCTTTTTGTCTAAATGTTGCGTTCACCACTGTCCTAACCTGAGCTTTGGTTTATAGCGAGGAATGAATGGGAGCTGCTGGACTGCTCAGGAGATGGACCAGAAGAACTGGAAGAACATTCAATGGTGGCTTATAAGGTAGTAAAGGACAATTTACATTCTCCATATCCTAACATTTATTTTCCTAACGTACAGTAAAATAAAATGCCATCTATTATTATATACTGGAATATTAGACCTCTGTGTCAGTGCCATTCTGGATGTAGCTGTACAGTGTTCTGGACTGTTTCCGTATCAAGTCCCAGCATTTCAGCTTAGCAGCCATGTGCAGCTCCCTGATTTCCTCACTTAACACTCAGTACATAATAGTAATACCAAATACAGACCTTGGCAGCACATTCTTTGACTTAGCTGTACAGTTGTAACAGTTGCTCTGAATTCATTTGCATGATAAGCAACAGCATGAAAACATTCATTTAGGAACTTGCATAGAAAAGGAACGGGGGAGTGAAGGCAAACAAGAATTACAGCTTTACTTGTGAAGGGGAATCAGAATTTAGGATATCAGGAGCTGCAGTGCAAGGCAATCCTCCTACAATTACACATAACCTAGTAGTATTACCTGAGCAATTCCAGGTGTGCATCCCTCACGTTTTCCCACATGACGAGGAAGTGTGTGCTTCTGGGGTGCTGCCCCTGTTCAAACAGCACCATGTTCAGTGGTGCTTCCTACTGGGGAGGATAAAAACATGGCTAAAAGTTGGTGGCTTACAGTTGCCTCAAGAATTCTTAATAGGTTATCCTAAGCATTACTGTTGATTGTATTTTGATGCTGTCAGCCTTTTCATTTCAAAATTATTTTTGCAATTATTTTCATGCTATGTGCCTACCTATACATGGCAAGTATCTTTCCATTTTGCAGGGCACCCTGTACATTTTTGGTGGAATGGTGGATTCTGCTTTCACACAAGCAAAAACCCCTCTCTGGATATATGACACAGGTATGATACACAATAGCTAGTCTCTTCCTTAGGGCATTCCAAGGCCATAGGTACTAATAAATGGTAAGAACCAAGCTGCTTTCTGCTGCTTGTAACAAGCCTCCCCTAGTTTTACAAGAAGAAATGTGTGTAAAACTGAGGACATAGTTTTCCTCTGAAATTAGGCTGTTAAGCTTTCAAAGGAATCAGCTCTTCCTTTAATTGCAAGGTTATTAGCATTACTATTTAAGAAAGCATCATGTATTTTCATGCCTCTTTTTTCATTCCTCCTCCCTGCCCCAAATTTTCCATTTGACCTCATTGTGGCCTCTGCTACTTCACTACGTAACCTTAAGTCAGCGGGTTTATTTTAACCTCTGTTTTCCAACATGGAAATACCTGCTGCTACAGCAGAGATTCTCGGATAGAAGCTCCTGTGTACCATGCATTTAACAGGAGAAAGATTCTTGTTAATCAAGATACTTAGCAGTGAAAATTGTGAAGGAGTTCTGCAGAGGTTTTGTACCTTTTTTTCATGGTCGTTATTTCAGCATTTCCCTGCAAGTATAGCTTTTAATAACATGGACTTGCCTGTAATTCTTCCTTATTCTTACCAGAAGCTGAATGTCTGGTCCCTCTGGTCCTTCAGATCAGTGGTTTTTGACTGTTATCCGAGGACTGTTTTTAAGCGATCTGTGAAAAGGAATGAGAAAAGTAAGGCTGTGGTCGTAAGGTTTACATAATAAATAACAGGAGCCATACTTTCACTGGAAAAAATGGAGATTCTTCGGGTCCAGAAAGCCACAGGTTATTTTTTACTTTGAAATTTAGCTTTAGGAAACAGAAAAACCAATATGGCATCTCGGTGCTTTGATAGCAGATAAGGATACAGGAAGACTATCAAACTGTCAGCTCCTCGGCGCTGCAGTGTTAGGGGAAGCAGATTTCCTCATCCTTGTCAGTGGAAAACACCGAGATGAGGTTGACTTGAAAACGAGATTCGTAATTTGAAGCACTGGTGCTGGAGGAGCGTCCCCTTGTGGTCTGTGGTATAAACTGCGCTTTATTAAAACAATCCCCCAGACTCTGCGAGATGGACAGAGGGCCGCGACGTACCAGCAGAGATGGAGGTAAGGAGCCAGGAAGTGGCAAATGTGTGAATCAAATGCCTGTTGCTTTGTTGATTAAACAGATTGCTTTGAAATATGTTCCCCCAAACAGTTCCAAACTAATCTCTTCAGAGACATGTGGCTGCACTTGCAATAATTAAGGCTTTTTCCTTCTTTACAATTACTGCTCTTAACTTTCTATATAGCACTGAAATTTTAAGCCCTCCACCACTTTTTCTGTTTTTCTAAAATCCTTATAAAGAAAAGCAATTTTAAATGATACATTGCTAGCATGAATGCTTTTAAAACAGGGGTCTGAAAACAGATGGGTGGTCACACTAATACATTTTGAAATGTGAAGTGCTGCAGCATTTTTTATTTCTCTAGTCTGAGCACATTGACTCCTTGAGATACTGCTGCTTTTAAATGAAACCTCAGTGTAAGCATTGAGGTAATGGTCTAATGGATTGGTTTTATATCAGGACGTGTAAAGAATGACCCGTGGGGTTGCTTCAGCTGTGTGTTTATCCTGCATTTTCGAAGAATTTTAACACGACCCAAAGCAGTGGTTTTCATTACTTGGAAATATTCTCAAGGCAGATTGATATGACTTTGTCTGTTAACATTTCTTCTTGTTTTATTACTAAACTATTTCAGAGTTTGGCACCTACTAACAGAAAAGGCCACAGTGCAGTAGTGTACCATGCCAGCATGTACATCTATGGGGGATATGTTGGCATCAGAGGCATTTCACAGGAATTTTGGACGTTCCATTTTGGTAAGTTTAAAAGTTTGATACCTTTTGATCCGGTACAATCAGTGAAAAATGATGATTGCTGTGGAATAGCATGGCTTGCTCTGTGAAGAAAATTCCTATCAGCAGCAATGTTGCAAGTTAGATTTGGCTTCTGTTCAGCAGCATTTAATTACAAATTCTGTCAATTAAACTAATCCCCAGCTGAAATGAGTTGGACTGAATTATACTGGAGGAAGTTCTGCCAGTTTTTTGCCAGTATTTGCCAGTTTTAGACCTGAGAAATCAGGGAGGATGGGGATGGTTCTATTCACTACGTTCTTCAAGGTTTACCAAAAACTTCCAGTTGCAGCAGAGACCTTCCATGACTTCAGAATCTTAAGTCTAGAACAGACCACAGAGAGCTAAACCTGGCAGGAGATGGTTCCACTGGCATGTTCATCATCAGGCTGCAAACCCGACGATTCGCAGAGACTTTCTGAAGTGGAAAGCTTTTGTTATCTGGTGGCCATTCGGGAGCTGTGTTGAAATGAATGATGGTTTATCTTATCTTTCATTCCCTCTCAGGAAGAATGAACACAGACATTAATGAAAGAATGGTTTAGCTGATTGATTTTCCCTCTTCTACTGAGGAAATTATCTTTCCATGACAGAGCTAACGAATTACCTAAGCTGTAGAAAAAACTCCTCTGTAAATAAAATCCATGGCATCTGCCATACAGCATCTGATATTTTCATTATAAGTTTATGCACTTTTTTGCTGTCAGAAATTAAACTGTTAACTTCTACCTTAGTAAGGTTTGAGCAGAACGTCCCCATTCTCCAATAAAGTGGTTACTTTGATACTGAAATAAATCCATTCTCAAATATTAGGATAAAACTGGTAAATTTATGAACTAATGCTCTCCTTTCAGATACAAGGCAATGGCTGTATGTTTCCACCCTATCTCACAACACTGGCCCAGGACCTCGGCACGGTCATTCGGCAGTAGTTTATCGTACAGCCATGTACCTCTATGGAGGGCTGGTGGGGCTGAGTGAACAGAAAGATTTATGGAAATGGGACTTTGGAAACAGCAGCTGGTATAACATCAGAACAAGGTACAGAATATTGTTTGTTAAACTACGTTGACACAGAAAGAGAATTAATCTTACCATATGATACCGCATGCAGGCAGAGAGGAAAATGTTTCCCTTTTGGGGAAGGTAGGGATTACTCAGATTAAGACCTGGTACCACTGCCATCCCTGAGGCTCCGGTTGGCTTTGCTGGGGAGTTGGCAACACGTTGGTGCAGCTGTCAGCAATACCATTTTGATGCCCCACTGCAGCTGTTCAGTGCTCATTCTCTTGAGTCAAAAGAAAAATAGAGGCTAAAGTCATCGTTAGATTCTTGTTGGTCTCCCCATAATTGCTGTTTTTGCTTGTATTTAGCCAAGGACCTCCTCCAGCAGTAGGTCACGCTTCAGTAGTCTTCAAAGACTCAATGCTGGTTTTTGGTGGAGGGATTTCCAACTCCAGTCCTAATGAAGACCTCTGGAAGTACCATTTCCATACACAGACATGGAAGAAGCTAAGTGGCGTTACAAAGGCAAACTTTTCTCCTAAAACATATCACTGCATGCTGGGTATTGGCGTTGGCTTTCAAACTACCTCAGATTTCACTAACACATTCTCCAGACACTGGAAGAGTAAGAAGGAGCACCACCAGCTGGTGACCATCCCAAAGCACTCCTACTTCTGCAGCTACTTTCGCCAGCAGCCTGCATACCGAGCGTTCAGCAACGAGGACAGTGGTGCCATTGAAATGAAAACCTTTAGCTTCCCTCTGGAGCCAGTGGGTTTTTGTGCATTTCAAACCTCTTCAGAGGTGGAAGCAGACCCAAAGAGAGCAACAAGCATTTTGACAAGGGATGGGTCTGCCCCTCTGTTTCTCTCTTCTGAAAAAGAGACTTTTGCTGCTGCTGCACTTGTGGAACAAGAGGAGGGAACCAACTGTCAGCATGCAGCTGCAGGAGATGAAGTTAGCAGCGATGCCAATGTGCTGCTGCTCATTGGAGGCAAACCTTTGTCCAGCTTCTCTGAAATCTCATTGTGGCAAACGGAGTTTGATAGCTTGTCATCTGTTTGAACGCAAAGCAAAAGAACAAATCCCTGCCAACGTGCTTAGGGGGCAACAAACCAACCAAACAGTGTTTTCAGTTTTCTGTCAGCTCACTGGGAAAAGAACAAAACCTTCTCACACATGTTATGCAGAGATTTTTTTTTACAATGTGAACAAAAACCTCTCTATACATGTAAGCCACAACTGACATAAAAATTACAGTTCCCAGGAGGAGCTTGTTGGAACTTAGCTGCCATTGTTACTTTTCCCTTCTGATCACCTAACATCCTGAAGTCACTGTGGCTGAGGCTGCATTGAAAATCAGATCTGCTGTAACCCCTACTGGCTCCATAACTGCCATTTGAAATGTTTGCTCATCTTGTGGTGTGCCAAGTAAAAGATACACACCTCTAAAACTGCAGTGTAATCCAGCTTGGGCACGTTACTTTCACGTGTGGCTATGAGAGATCTGATGAATCCTAATGGCTTTTTCTTCAGAGAACCCTCTTTGCACAGTGTGTCCACAACAGCAGATAGCATATTGCATTGAGTATGTGAGCCTTTGCATGGTTTATTTTCTTTGTTTAAAACTTCATGAGCATTCAGATTCACCAAGAAAGGTGTTTTTTGGAGAGAGAACATCATCCAGCATTTCAGGTATTTCTGTGTAAGTTACTGAGGTATCTGCCTTCAAGTTATTGGCCTTCTGGTTGAATTCAGCATCCTCTAGGAAGAAATTATGATGTTTGAAGGAAATATTTAATATTTCCAGTTTTTTTAATAAGTAGTTCTCAAGAGTTTCATAGGAATTATGAACTTTAAGTGGAAGTATTTACAGATACTTTCTTCATCTTTTCACAAGTTGCTGTCCCATGAAATCGGTACAAAAATTACAGATGGGTTTGCAAAAAGTTATTTAAGGATTACTTGGACCTTCAGTGACCTTTGGAAACTGAATTGTATGCTGCCATATAAGTAAAGCATGCTGCACTTCCCATCAGTGTGTTCTTGTTTTCTGTGCTTTCATGAATTTAAAATATATATTTACACTTTCCAAACAGCAAAGAACTTGCCTCTTGGAACAAACCACACTCCCACAACCACCAGCCATCTCGCAGCAATCCTGCAGGCCTTATTGCTGCTCAGACTTTGGATTCCTTCTCCAGGATCATGAATCACCCAATTGGAGGAGGCACGTTTGAGAACTTCCTACAGCGTCCAGGCTGAGCACGTGCAGGGCACTGCAGCCTTCACTCAGCAGCAAGCATTTCTTTCGCTGGCTGATGTGTCTGTTCTGGCATTATCCAGAGAGCTGCTGTAATATACAGACTTCTATCTAGGATTGATGAGGGAGTACAATTTATCTGGAAAGTGTAACAATAAACCAGAGATTTGCCAAGTGATGAGAAGGTCTGCTGGTACATCCACGTATCCTGGGGATGCACAACAGCCCAGGAAAACACAATCCAGCCTCCACCATTCCTTTCGTGCCCCCCCCAGCCTCCCTTCTGGGAACTTTGGCAGCCCCACAGAGGGTGTAGCATTTACTTGGAGCCAATGCAGGCAGGACATGAGCCAGCTCTAAGGAGAAGGCCTGGCATAGGGAGCAAAAAGCAGCTTGCAGGACGTGCCCATCTCCTCCACGTCCTCCCCTCCCCAGAAGGTGAGCTGAGTTGGCGCTGCATCGACACTTCTGATGCAGCTTCAGCTTCTTCCCCAGGAAATCCTGAACATTCACCTCAGCCCACGGGGCCCTGCTGCACCCCAGCCCCTGTACCCCAGAGCTTGGGATGGAGCTGAGATGGAAAGGCACTGCATCCCACAGCCCCTCTGCAGCACGAGCATTCCTCTGCCTGGCACCTCAGTCTTGCTGGTCACGCAGCACTTGTATTTCAGGCCCTATCCTAAACCTGCACACGGTATCCAGGACCCACGCACATAATCCTTGCTCATACCATGGTCTGATACTCCCTGAGATGTCCTGTTTCAGAACTCAGTGCCACCAACTATGCCCAGCAGTGTTCCCATCACCCCAGGTAGTTCCACTCCTGCTTTCCTGGTGCAGTACATTTGTTATTTGATGCAGAGGAACAGCAGAGGCTTTGTCAATGTGCTTCTGCTTTTTCTCCATGCCTGCAGCAGTTCGTGAGAATTCATCCTGGGCCCAAGCCAGTGACTAAAAGCTACAGCCATCTGAATGCTCGGAGGTGGCCTGCATGAAATAATGAATGGAATTAGTCCAGCTGATGGCAGCTACTTAGTAACAAACCAGCACTGATTTTTGGCTGGAAGCGGAGCAGAGGGGCTGTCACTGAAGTGAGTTGTTGGAAGTGTCTCTGAAAAAGAGAAGTTTGCAAATCACGTATCACAAGAGAACAATTCCATCAGCCTTAATTATCTCAAACTCACTGTCTTTAATTACTGCTTGCTTTCTGAACATCAAAAAGAGGATTTTCTCTTAAAATATAGACACTTAATAAACAGGGTGGCTTTCAAATTAAAAAAAAAAAGCCCATCTATTTTCAATATATTTTCTTATAAATGCATTTGAAGAACCATTGAGTCACTTACCAGTGGCATCTTAAGTTTGACCTACACAGAAAACATGCCACAAGGGAAATGACTTTCTAGGAGCTTAGCTATTAAGTTGGAACTATTTCACTTCACAGAATCATGGAATGGCCTGGGTTGAAAAGGACCACAATGATCATCTAATTCAATCCCCCTGCTATGTGCAGGGTCACCAATCACCAGACCATGCTGCCAAGAGCCACATCCAGCCTGGCCTTGAATGCCTCCAGGGATGGGGCATCCACAACATTCCTGGGCAACCTGTTCCAGTGTCACCACCCTGAGTGAAATTACTTCCTTGTGATACGTCATTGAGAAGATGATCAGATGGCTTGGATGTCCTCTGCTGCCTTAAGTAGAAATAAAGTTTCCTTTAACCCATGAGTAGCACCGCTGTACTTGGAAGCATAACACCATCCCCTGAACACTGAAAATAAAAGCCAGGTGGCACCGCTTCTCACTGCACTTTGTGGAACTACACGTGGCCCTTCCAACCCTCCTCCTGGGCACCACACCCTGGGCTCATTTTCAACACACCCTCCTGTCTCCTTGGAAAATCTCATCTCATTTGAAAACCACCACTTAACTCTTTACCATCTGCAAGTGTAGATGTTATCTTACACTTCAATCAGTGGCAAAGCGTTTGTTGGCCACATACCTGGGGCTCTGAGCTCAGGGAGCAGCACTGCCAGCCCCAGTGACCCACTCCTGTCCCAGGTCTCAGCCCCCCTCCTGCCTGCCACCATAGAGCCCAGAAGTGCTGAAGAATGACTCCACAAGACATTTGCACGGACGTGGTGTATTTCAGACACAACTACAGCATAAACATTTTGAGATCGGGTTGCGGACTACAAACCACAGTTCCTCGTTCCCGTGTACAGTTTCCATAAAGATGGCAGTGCAGTGCCCAAAGCCGCTCATACGTCACTACTGTGAAACAGAAGCAAGAGGGTGCACTTTGTTTTATAAAAAAATCCAAATAAATTACACACTGAGAGCTACCGCCGAGCTTCACATATAAAAAGGTAAAAATACAGTAGTTAGTGTGGCTTTAACAAAAAAAATCTAGCTAAAAAAATACTCTTACGTACTTCAAAAATAGGTTTCTCCAGTTATAGGAAGGAGCGTGTGTGTGTTTAGGAAGCAAAGTGCTCAAGCCCAACAATACAAGAGAGGTGCACTTAGCAGGAGAAGCCCCGTGGCTCCCTGCTGTGACACAGCACAGGGAGCAATGCCCACCCCTCGTCCCAGCAGATGGGCACAGCCTGTTCCTTCTGTAGTGCTGACTCTTGGACGTGGATATTACACCTGCATCGCTGGAAGGCCATTAGCATGGAGTTCTACTTTTTTGGTATAAAAGCTACGATTGTCTAGCTGTGACATTAATGCATCTAATAGCTACGTAATTTCACCGCCGCTTTCTAACTAACAAACACTCTGCGCTTCACCTGTGGGAGATTCAGGTTGTCCTACAACACATTCACAACGTGGAAAATACATCCAGTGCAGTTTGTGGCAGATCTGAACAGTATGGCTTTGCTTTGAGAAACAAAAGCAAGAATTGGGTGCATGGGCTGACAACAGCATGTGGGAAGACCCAAATGGAACCGAACCTTTCACCTGAGACCTCATTTGGTGCAGCCAGGTTGTGACCAAAGAGTTGTCCAAAACATACCTCTGGTACAGCTGGCTGTCTCTGACAAGCTCTGCATGGAACTGCAGTTTAAATTGGAGTGCATTCCAACCTGAAAAATTATATATATATATACGTATATATAATTTTTTAAGGGATCTGGCCTTTTCCAAATGACTGCAACACAGCATGTAGCTGTATTTCTTCATTCCTTTCAGCTCTCAAAGCTTTTAAGTGGTCAGCAGATCTGCCAGCATCCCAACATCAGATTAACACTGAAGTTTCATTTATCAATTTCTTTGAACACATACAAATAAACCAAACCTTTTAGAGGGTGACTGAACCTTCCAGCCAATCAACCAATAGAACAGCCATGTTAGGAAAACTCCTCCTTCTCAGTAGCATACTGAGACTCATTGATACTCTACAGCATTAACTGCAAGAACCACGTGTCTACTTACATTTGATAAAGCACAAGTGATAAATAATGCTACGTTACTTGATAGCCAGTCACAGCACAACACGAGGCCTGTAGTTTTAAAGCAAACCAGTGATGCAAAGCTACAGGACCTTCGGACACTGGATTATGTGCCTGTTCAGATCGCATAACTGTGGTGTCTCAGTCTCTTCAGGCTCCCCATACAAACAAATGGAATAGCTAAATAAGCTACGATGAGTTAAATGGACTGTGCATTTCCTTCAGCTCCAGGACCCTGCTGGGAAGAGCTAGGTTTGCAGCCTCAACTCTACTGGAAATTGCAGATCTCTAACACAGAAGCTGAAAATTTTGAATTTTTAAGCAAAATTTCAAGTATTTGGCTACTGGAAGTGGAGGAAAACCTTGCCTCTACGAAATTCTCCCATGTGGGAGTTTAAATGCAACATTCCCTCCATCACCAACAGCCCAGCCACACTGGCAGTGTAACAATTGGGACTTGGAACCATTTAGATTTTAGGAGACCACATTCACCATGTGTTCCTTACTTGTTTTTAGGGTAGTTTTTTTTTTTTTTTTTTTTTTTTGCTGTATGTGATTTCCCAGAAGGGATCTAATAATTTAGCACTCAGTACTTTAAAAGTGTAAACTTCTGTTATTTTACTTCTGGGAGAAACTCAAGCTAACAGTTCACAGAGCTCCTGAACCCAATGGGAAGAGTCAAATATCAAACATGCCTTAAAGAAAATGCTTCTGCATTCTGTCTATTTACAAAACCAACACATGTAGTTGGTGAATGCCAGCTCAGCTGCTGAGCAAACAGATCGATAGTGAGTGCCAAGTTTCCCCACACAGTCCTGGCTTTGTGCAGGAAGCAGACTGTCGCAGCCATAGCTTCCCTTTTTTGCTGCAGGAACTTTTCTGGCAACTCTGTTAATCCACACTAAGACATTTGATATTTGAATCGGGTATCTTTCATGTTTTAATATGTAATAAAGCTCAGTTTTAAAATATAAAAAAGCCAATACTCTGCTGGAAGCAATGATGGGAGGTAAATGCTGGCCAGCAGAAGTGCACCACTTAGGCCCAAAGAGCAGCTCCCCTTTGGCTGGCAGTGCTGTGAATGGGGAAGTGTGCCTGAAGCTCCTGCCGTCCATTTCAACTGTAGGTTACATAGGCAAAGGCTGCAGATCACTCTCTGTAGCATAGTCAGTCATAATTGCTCCCAATGGTCCCTATGTTTTTCTGTTAAGGCCTCTGAGGTTTTGAGGAGTGGCAGTGGGCTGTGTAATGCCAAGCAGTTTCTTCCTTAAAACTCTCAGTCAGCATCTTATAAAAAATAATGAGAACAGCCATAAGAACACCCAAGACATACCCTAACCTGAAAGCAGCAGCCTAACAGGACAGCAGCTTACCTTGCACAACCCACAGCGCTTTGGTCCAACTCTTTGTCCACACGGAGTTACGCTCACGCAGCAGGCACGCACAAAGAAAGTTGTGCATACAGGTTTCTAACTCACTTCCACATTTAAAATTGTTCCTAAGAACCCCATGGATATAAATAAAGAGCAGCACTGTGCAGAAAACATCCTCCAAGCCCACTCATACGTACAAACCTCTTCCTGAGAAGGATCCCAGTAGCTTCAACTGTGCTTCCCTGTTTGGAGATGTGGAATTCATCACTGGGCTTCTACACTTCTTCCTCTGACTCTGCACTGGTATTTTCAGGGATATATTCCCAGGGTCCATGTTCTCACCTCTACACAGGGATCCTGAAGCCCAGGACACTCTTCAAATTGTATGTGCTGTATCCTGTACTTTACCTGAGCACCAAAAAGTCTTTACCAGCACTGCAGAGCACGCTCTTGCAAGTGCTCCTACCTTTCTCCTAGAAGCAGGTGAAGTGCTTTTGGGAATGTTTCATCTCTTTTCCCCATTTTCACCTTACTCTGTATTTTGTTCCACACGCTATTGGAACAGGATTCAAGGTGGTATTAAGAACTGACCCAGTTGTACCCTCATGCCTTATGCTGTGTGTTAAGTATTCTCCAAAGCACAGGACCTCAAACCAACACCTAGCAACAATGTGAATAGACAAAATGAAAATCTTGTCCTTCCTAGCCCTGAACGACAACAGAACTAACCAAAAAGCAGCTCCTGAAGTAAGCTGTACTCACAACTTCGCTACTTCAATGCTGAGAACAAAAAAATACACCTATAGCCTAAGTACACATCTGTATTTGAGTTACAGAGGAAATGAAATAACCAGTGTCAAAATGTGGGACCTCTGCTGCAATCTGCTAATGCTATAAGAGGTTTGGCAGGTTAACTTTCCTGGTTGCAATGAGCAGCTCAAATCCAGTCAAAGTAGTTTGTCACAATAGTTTGTCCTGTAAGAAGAGGTGCAAAGATTACCAAGGGCTTTAAGGCCAAAAGGAGCATGTGTGGCAGTAAAACAAAGGAAACTCAGAGTGACTAATCACACAGAAGAAAATGATCTTGGCCACATGAAACAGTCATTGCCACTGTGAGCCACCATACACAGTGTGCCCACAAGGTGGCCCTAGAAGTTCTCCTAATCTTCCCAATATTACTCTACAAAGGACAGGGACGTGTTCAAATACTGCAAAGCTAACATCACAGTGATCACTTGCCCGTAACATTTGAGAGGCATGAGACTAAACCAAGTGTGAGTGGAACACAACTACATTTTGTTCCTCATGTTCAGAATTAGCTCCAGTGTGATACTTCACTTCTCTTGAGGGAGAAGATCAAACTTCCATGCGGTTTTACATTTCGGCTCAGACTGTAATTCCAGTTAGATTGCAATAAATGTGAAAGTCTCTTCCTGGATTCTAGCAAACCAGCTGCTGTTTCACTCCCATTCAGTAAGAGCTTCATCCCAAGCAAGTCTTTCAGAAGGATTCCTTGTAGATGTCAGAAGATTTGAGTTTGAGTTTTTACTGGGTGGGAAGTACAGAAGCTCCATCTTCTACAGTTCAGTGGTGAGTAAACATTTCGTCCTTACTGCAGCATCCTCAGCGACTGGGCTAAAAGGGGAAAAAGTGGGGCCTTGTGAATGCACTTCTACAAACAGATCTGCCATGATTTATAAAGTGAAAGGTACTGATGGGAGCAGAACTAAGAACTAAGCATTATTCCAAAGAGCAGCAATAACTGCTGCCTCAATCTAACAAGTCCAAAGAACCACCCTTTCCAACGGCCAACCTGCAGAAGGGCACACAGAATGACTTCCAATAACACATCACTGCCGTCCACTTTCTGCCCACCAATGCTTTCCCTTTCTTAAGAGGTTCAAAAAAAGAACTGGTCATTGCAGCTAATTGTGCCTCACCAGTACAGCAGAATGGAATAGCAAGAGAAAACATTGCTACTAATCTCTGACTTCCTTACAGTTTGGAAGAAAAAAAAGAATCACCAGGAAAAAAAGAATCGCAAGTACTAGGAAGAGATTTTTCAGAAAATGCATCTGTCCTGTAATCTTAGTCCAGTACTAAAAAGATAGGGAGCCAGATAAAGGAACCAAAGCAAACTGATAATTCAAAAGAATGAATCCACTTCACAGTGGTTAGAATGACAACAGCTTTACATCCATTTTCAGCTGATTGTATTCTTTGTTCCTCTAGCAACTTGAATTTAAAAGTTCTCTTACCCTTATCTAAAATACCCGTACTACACATCAGCAGCTCTACTGACATAAAATTTCAAGTGCTGAGAAGTGAGACAGAGCTACAGTTTAGAAAACAAAGCAAAATCAGGCAGTGTATCCAAATGACCACTGTAACTACTGAAGTGGAAGGAGGAAGAGTGCACACTTCCCCTCCATCCTACACACGTACTTCTGGAATGTGTGCTGAGAATTTACCTTGCAAGGACTTCAGCTGTCTGCTGGCACGGTGGCAATCCAGCTGATGACAACAGAGCCTCTGCGCTGCCTTTCACTGCTTTCAGAGATAAGGCAACATCATTTCCCAAAGGCCCATTGGACATCAGTCCAGTCTGAATTGGGGAGAAAGAAAAAGGAAACTGAAACAGAAACCTGCTAGCAGAAGACACACTAACTATTCAACGTGGTTATTTACCACAGGGAATTAAGATCCGTCAAGTTTGAACTAAACGCAAGTTCTTCAACTTCGCAGCATTTACCCAATGCAATGTAACACAGCAAAAATGGAGCTTTAAATATATATTTTAACACATTTACAGTTTAACTCAGCTTGAATTGGTTTGCTTTAGTTTTGGTCTGATGCACTGTTGTATAGACTTTCAAATGAATATAAATTATTATATGTTACTCATGTTCTTGTTTGTTAATCATGACCAAAGCTCTCTTTTCCCCCCCTTCCCCCTTTTTTTTCCCCTGAAGTTGCATTTTACACGCTCCATCTCAAACTGCTAAGTAATGGTTCAGCAACTCACTGGCACTAACCACCTCGGTGTTATTGTGGGCTGGGAAGACACCTACAGAAAGCAAAGAAAAGCTCATTAGAAACAGCTGGAAGAAACGAACAGATTTGACATAATACTGCACACCTAAAACAACACCAGGTATTTGTCAGTCGCTACTCAGAACCTGCCTCACAATATAAGAAGCCTTTGAACCATGTTAGTGAACAGCTGCAGGTGAAGCGACTTCTCACAAGCAGGTAACTCACAGCCACACAGCCATACATGCTCACTCACAGAAACTCACTGGCAACAGTTTCAGCATAGCTTTCCCTTCCAAAAGGCACCCAAACCCAAACCCACTGCTATTTTCTGCTTTGCAGATGATGTTAAGTGAGAGTACTCTTCTGTGAGTAGTTTAAAGGTGCCCCAGACGTATCACCAGTTCACTCTACTGCAGCAGATCCAGCATGATGGACGGACGCCGAAACCAGAACAGAGTTTGTGAGTAAAAGCCATTGTACTTGGGAAGGAAGAAGTTTGGTTTTGAAATACATTTACCCGAGGTGTTGCTTCTGTAAAGTCAATTAGATTCTCTGTCAATGATGATAGGAAAACGTCCTGGTCATCTGGAGCGCTCTATGGAATAAATCAGTTTTGAATTCAATTCCCAATAGCAAATAGATTTGCTGAACACTACAGTGGCTTCCCACGTTACAGACCGGTGTCCATAAAGAACGCTGCCATTCATTAGGACAGTTTCCTCAAATCTTTTTCTATCATCTTTTTCAACAGCCTTTTCATTTCAGTGTTTCCCAGCAGCAAACTGGAAAGAACATCATTGCCACTAAGTTGCAGAACTGCCCTGTTCTCCAGTGCAAAGCTGAGGTATTGCACCATTTGACAAGAAGGTCAGCAAGGCCTGCAAGCTGAGCATCTGAACTCAGAAGATGAGGGTGATAATTATTCAGTGGAATGAACTATATAATACTGGTTTAGAGGGAGGACAGACAAAGGGCGTGTTGCTTTAGTCATCCAGCTTAACCCCTCAGCCTGCTGAAACAACAGCCAAGTACAATGTTGGATTCATGTTTTGTTTTGGAGAGGGACAAAGGAAAACTGACCCCTGAGTGCATCACAAAGACTGCTTTGTGCATTTCACAGAGTCCAATAAAAAAACTACCTTAACCTTAAGGCAACCAAAATACAACAATCAAACATGACTATTCAAACTTTTTCCTCTGTCATTATTTCGTGGAAATTGCATGTGTCAGAATTTCATCCTTGCACCCATCTTCCCCAGAGCCCCAATGCCCAACCAGTTAGAAAAATAAGCGTCAGGCACAGAACCTGACACAGAAGAGTCAGAAATGTACTTCAAGAGCAATGCATACAGCAGGCCTCTGCTCCAGAAAGCAGTCTGGCATTCAGCAGTGACTGGCATTCACTGTGTTATGACAGGCATGCAGTAAGGTCTGCTGTGGTTGCCTGAAGGCATCAGTAGCTCAGAGTGTGACACAGAAACCTTCCAGGCTGACAGGTGGTAGTGATACCTTTGAAACAGCAGCCTCCTCAGCTGGAGCAAGATTAGCTGGAATCAGCAACTCTTCATGGTTAGAGGCAGCATTATCCTCATTTAATGCATTACTGCAAGGAGAAAACATTCTCATCAGTGGATGTAGCCAGTGTTCAAAAAGACCCAATGCTATCAGCAGCATTTTCAACACTTATTTCTAACTCACGTACGCAGAACTGAAGTCTTCCCTGCAAGCCTCTTATCTCCCCAGGTAGGGCCAGGGGCAGCAGGATGTCAAATATTTCAGTCAGTTCCAAAGATGAGAGAGATCTCTTACTACTTGATAAGATACTCACCCCGAGGCATGGCCTACACTCATTTACTGTTGCAATGCTAATTAAAGAAGCATCTGTAAACCTGTTTAGTTAGACACAGCCTAACTGCTCAGCAACTGCTCCTCATCTTTTCAAGTTGGTTTCATGGCAATCTTAGTGTGGCTCTCTTATCCCAGAAACACTTTTCTACTGAATCACTTACGGAATGAATGTGTTTGAGGCAGGGGTTGTTTTCAGGTTGTTTTGAAATACTGGACTGCTTGCTGAGGAACTGCTCTGGGTTTTCCCTGATGGGAGGATGTTCCTGTACAGTGACAACAAAACAAAAACAAACACTGAAAGCTCTTCACAGACTACCTGTTACAGCATGTTTTTCAAATTGCTAGCTACTCTTTTTGTTCCATATATGACCACACGCCCTTTGAAATTTGACACATGCTCATCTCCTTCAAAAAATTACACAGTTAAAACAAGTAGCTGTACCTTTTCCAGCGCCTGGAACTCAGCTAGAACTAAAGCTCATATAAGATTCAGTAATTCTAGAAAACCAGCTGCCAGTATGGGAGAATACAGTAAGAGTACCTGAATTACGTTAATGTATCAAAACTTTGTAAACACAGTTTTTAGTGTTTTTCATTCTAAAAACACACCATGCTTACCATGTTAAACAACACTACTACATGGTAAAATGCAACAATCACTGACACTGAGCACTGAGACTCCACACATACAGGTTCTCAGTGCTGCACTTGGGAAAATACATTGTGCTTTTCTTCCAAATCAAAACAGTACCTGGAAGCAGCATCCTGAATGTTGGAATTCTTGTTACCTGTCAGGCTGTCTTCTCTTACAGCCTAAGACAAAAGAAACAAAACAAAACAAGCATGTTTGATTCCTATTTCCATTCTGTATCAGTTCAGAGACTCACAGAAAAGCTGAGCACCTCCCTCCCAGCATGAATCTGTGCTGCTCATTTACTGCTCAGGGCCCTCAACCACCAAACTCCCTGTGAAAATTTCAGTGCAGATAACTTGCTAATGTAACCAAATAAAATACCACTATTTGCTACAGAATTTAGAGGAACGTTCCAAAAGCATGGCCTTAGTGGCAGAACTATGGAACAAATATTTGGTTAGAAGGGATCCTCTGGGGGTTACCTGATTCAATTGCCACTCGAATCATGGCCAAGTGCAGAGGTCATTAGATTGTTCAGGGCTTTCTCCAGCACCAAAAGGGGTGACAATTCCTCCCTGGGCAAACTGCACCCCTGTGACAGTGTAAGGCTGGCAGGCTTCCTTATTCTGCCACTCTTCAGATCTCAGCTCCTGAAGCACCCCTATTTGCAAAGCCCCTTCTCCAACACCACACAATTGCAGAGTCAAACAGGGAAAACGGACACCTCCTGAACGTGGGGGCTCCTCACAACCAGTTCTAAAAAGCCATCTGAGAACACTGTAGCTCTCATCAGCTGAGTATTTACCTTGTGCCCTGCTTCCACCTGGGCCTTCAGGATATTGCTTTTCATGTCAGCTGGAAGCCATGTTGCTGCTGCTATCGGGCTCTCCATTGCATTGTTAAGACATTTATCTGTGAGCTTCACCACTTCATCCTAGGCATGAAAAATACTCATCAGAAGCAGTTCCCACACAAAAACTCTGGGCTGAAATTAAATAACATCTCCAAAGAGCAACAAAGCTCTGAGTGAGAAGAAAAGTAGTGGTTATACTGAAAAGAGAAAGCAAAATCTTTGCTTTGGAACTCAGTTCTAAAATCACAGCAGCAGAAGTATATTTAAAAAAAAAAAAATAGAATACAGAAAAAAGCACAAAGCTTAAATGTAGAGAAGCAAAGAGCTGTGCTGAAAGTAGCATGAAAGAACTGAACAGCAGTGGGTTCTACGTACGTAGCTGAGCTTACTGATATGAGATTAATACAGCAAGTATCATATAATACTGAACAACGTAACAGCAAATTAATAATTCACTCTCAAAACTAACATGGGAAGATTTTTGCTCTAAAACTGCTCATAAATTACGAAGTTTAATGTGTTAGCTCCCACTCCCATCACTAATGAGAAGAAACTGGCAGCCAGATACTTGACGAAGACAATTAAAAATACCTTTTCAACACAGTATATTTCACTCTGTGAATTACATTTCTTAATTATAAAATGGTAATTCATTAAATATTGCACCTACTAATTGCTATTTGATTAGTGACAGAAGTTAATTAACTGAGTGGAAACTAAACCTGGTGACCTCTCTTCTCAGGGTAGGACTCAGCAGGGGGAGACAGAGCCCAGCCTTCCCCCATATGCCACGTAGTGCCTCGCTCCTGCAACCCCAATGGAGCAGCAACAACCCTGCTGCACTCTGACTTGCATGAGCTGCATTAAAAAACCACTTCAGCTAGCAAATATTAAACACTGCACATTCACCTAATTCACAAAGACCATCGGTTTATTGAACACAAGTCTTATTATACAGAAACTACTGGAATTGGCACAAACCTGGAGCAATTAAAAGGGAATTATTTTCTGTACGGTTGAGGAACCAAGCTGTGAGAAACCTTAAAACCTTACACTTCACCTCCCTGCACTGGATGCTGCATGCAACAGCCTCAGAGCAGAACACCTAACGCATTTCCTCCAGTAGCAGCAGAACAGTGGACTTGATTATTTTAACTGAGAACATCAGCAGAGCAGTGCTTTAAACACCATTTAGTCACTAAATATTAGTGGTCTAACTTCCTCTCCCTCTCCTCCATCTGCACAACTAGCTCTAAGTCACACCAGCCTGCTAGCAATTAAATGCCCAACTCTGAAAGGCTGAGCATTATTCAGAAATACTTTAATGTTATCAAATACAAGTTCTGTAACACCAAGGAAATGTTTCCATCAGCACCGAAGATGCTGAGATTTTTCTTAACCATTTCTGTTTTGCTGTTTTCTACGGAAAGCACTTGTAGCTAAAGGGGAAAGCATTTGGCAAGTGGTAAGAGGGCCTCAAGATGTAAACCTTACCATTTAGTTGTCCATATAAAACAGTAAGGCTGGAGTTTGTCAGTACTGTAGCTTACTACAACTGTGTATTGTTACCATACACTGGGTGAACCATGTGTGTTCTTTATCCTTCAGCCAAAATACAGAGAGCTAAGCAGCAATGTAAGAAGGCAAGACAAAAAGCAGCTAGGGAAAGTTAGCTGCATCCTTGGTTGCTTTTTAGTAGTTATGCTTAAGTCTTAGTCACTCTTTTCTGGACACAGTTCCAAACCATTCAGCCTTCATCTCCAAACACAGCTGGGGGTTCTCATTCGGTTCTACTGTCACCTCCTTGCCTTTGCAGCCTGAAGCATACAGTCTCTAATCTGTCTACCTCGTTAAACAAACATTCTCAAGGCACCTCCTGGCAAGCTGCATCACAAACTGATAAGTTCCATTTCATCTTTTCCACCTGAGGAAAAGCACTTAGGGTACAGTCTTTTCAGTTTTCACAGTGAAATTCACACATACTTCTAGAAAGCTGCTAAGGCTTCATTTCCCAAAGAAAGACTCCACCTGCACACTGTTGATCCAGACACCTATTTCTCAGCTAAGCCCATGTTTCTGCATTCTCATCAGGGCCATATATCCCCCCCACATCTGTGACTGTGATAACCCACCCCCTCAGCTCCTCATACAGCTGGAGAGCAGCGATTGTCCTATATTGACATCTATAAGATCAGCTTGCCACAGGAACCTTATCTTCCTTACTATATTACAGTCATGATTTAAGAAGCTCTAATACAATTTTGCTCTGTTCTCTCCATTTAACCAACTAGACGGTTTTTGTTCTCTGTTTGAATTAACACAGAGCGCAACAGGCAAAAGTGTTCTGCACTAAGCTGTATTCTTTGCTTTAGTTTATGCAGAGGCAGCGTTTTGGCATAACAAGACCTATAGGCTACAGGCTAATCTTCTTAAAGACTCGGTAATCTTTGTAATGCAGTCACCCAGCAGAAAGGTACACAAAGTATCCCTACAACAGCCCTTAAAGGGGACAGAGCACAGCAGCCTGCAGCACCAAGCACACAGAGCAGCAGCACACACACACAGCAGCCTCTCCACAACAAAATCTGACCGATTTCATTAAATGGCACAAAGGGCAGTGCCAACAGGTCGCAATCTTGAGCCTCCCCACAACACAGGGCAGTGCCAACAGGTCGAATGCTGTAGATTATTTTAGTCTGTACAAAACGCAGTAAAGCACTTACAGCCTTAACATAGGGAAGCAGGTTGTTTTTTTTTTCCCCTCTTTAAAACATATGCTTTGTTCACTGCTAAACCCGAAGGGAAAACTAAATTAAATCTAAATTCAAAAATGTTCAGACTAGAATCTGTTGATTTTAAGCACCTCTGCACTCTATATTCTAAAGTGTAGCTGCATGCCCAGGCGTGACTGCAAAGAACATCCTGCATGAGTGCAGCTGTCCAGTAACCAGCGAACTCCTGGTGCAAAGCTCTCTGCTGCCATAAGGATCCCGTCCTCTCCATCCCTTCTAGTAACACTGCTTATTTTCACTATGGCTCTCTGATCCCCTCATGAGCCTGTTTACTTCACACACCCACACGAAACTACTAGTAAAAAAGTTTAAAACTGAAAATGTTTTTAAAACTTTTAAAACTTTTTAAAAAGTTTTGATTTTTGTCACTTTGTAGAATACATTGCTTCACTGCAACATCCAACAGCTATTGTAGGTGACAAAGGAATGAGGGAAATCAAAGAAGGAAAAGCAATGAGGAGCAAGGGAAAAGAGAGCCTTCTCCCTGGTCAGGGAACTGAAGCTGTTATTTCAGCTCAGCTGCCTGCAGAAATGCAGCCCGACTTGCTCCAAAGGAGCAAAGTACTAAATAAATCAAACTCCACCGCTCCCCTCTGTGTAAACACGCGTGGAAACCTCTGCTCCCACCAAGCCCAGGGAGCTGGTGAGAACCAGTTACTGACAGGAGGAACTGACCACCAGAACAGCTCTTGGAGCAGAATGTCCAAACAAACTTCTGGGAGGGTTATGGAATGCGACTGGAAAACGCTAAGGGAAAAGCTCACCTCCTCAGAACGAAAGAGTGAATGATACAAGGCTGTACAGCTGGCAACCTACAGATAAAGGCAACAGAGGAACTGTTGCAAGTGTTTGAACTTTTTGCTCCAGCAAATATTAGAAAATCTCAGCAGGCTGCAGTGCACATATCTGCAGGTTCACCTCTGCCCCATCGTATGCACCTCACTTCCTATCATGCACAGGTTTACACATAAATATTTCTATCTGCTTTCCTATTCCCACATATTACTCATGCCTATTCTTAAAAATCTTGCAGACACACTGTGCTGCACAGCATTATCTGAACAGAACGGAGCAACACTGTGCCACGAGGCACAGCACCCACCTACCTGCACGTTGATGTTTATGTTGGGACACTCAGTGGGCACAGGGCTGCCGCACTCTGCCTCCAGCTGCTTCAGTTTTAGGAATGCATCTTCAAATGCTGAAAAAGACAGGGAAGTCAACAGTCTAACTACTAACGTCACTGTGGAGCTAACTTGCACTAATTGTGAGGTTGAATGTTTGTTACAGGACTTCAGCTGAACTCCTAAACGCATGGTAGGAGGGCTGCATTGCACTGGCAGGCAAAACTGTCCTTATGCCTGTGATCTAAGAGAGCTCTCTAGGACACTTCTGGATTCTTGTAAGGAAGCAGCCTCGTAAGTATTTCACCAGTTAACTGACCCTGCACACCACAATAATAGGAAGAAATCTGTAAGTTTGCTTACGGTCAGAGTCTGTTTTTTCAACTGCAGCTTCCTTAGTGCCAAGATGAGGGCAGCCCACAGCCTCTCTTGAATCTCCTGTTACCAGGGCAACGACGGGACTGCCTACAGCATCATCCACACAGGTCTCTGGCAAATCCACACTGTCGAGGAGATCAACAAGGGGTATGCTGTGAAGGCACAAAGTTGGGCATAGAGAGGCACAATTCCATTACCAATCTTTCTACATTAAAAAAAAAAAAAAAAAAAAAAAGCTTTAACATGCAGTCTTTTTTCTTCTACCTCCTTTTGGGGCACCAGACACATTCCGGAAAAAGTGTCTGAAGTAAACATTAGCAGCTCTGCAGGGATTTTAAACAAAGAAGCTGCAGTGAAAACCTCTCCACAATGTATAAACACAGCAATTAATTGTGGGAAAGTGAATAGCCCAGCATATTGAGCTAAGCCCTACCCAAAGCACATACTCACTCCTTCTGGAGGCAAAGATGCACCATGACATACCATGTCAGCTCTCCCTTCTGCAAGTGACTCCAGTTGTTTTAAGAAAGAGGAAAGTTCTTACCTAGTAAATGCATTCGTTTGAAATAAGTATTTGGAGATTTTCTAGCAGACTCACACCACATTTTAGCATTTTTAAATGAGAAAAACAAAAGAGCAGGGGAAGACAGCCGATATTCTTCACAAAATGCTATTTCTTGGTGCAGTGCTTCCTCCAACTGTTGTAGAAAGAAGAGGGCAGGAGGTTTCACTGCAGAGGCCTGCACCAATGCTGTGCTTTGGTCATATGCACCTGGCTTCAGTTTTACTAACTTGGGCAGACAAAAATGAAGTCACCATATGTAAGGGAACCATAGCACCCACTCTGTATCCCTTAGGATTGCTTGCTTTCATCTCCTCTGCTTTCCAAAGGAAATGGCTCCTTTTCATTTTGTCCTACCATCTGTATTTACAATGCAAATAGCAAGGTCCAAAACAAACCAAAAAAAAACCACCAAGAAGAACAGAAACAGAAACTGTATTATGATGCTTATGCTGTGCCAACAGCCAGGAATCTCATCCATCTCTTGGAAGTTGAAGAAATCTGTTTTAACAGCAAACTGACACATACAGACACAGCAGCTGCTGTGGAATGTAATGGTTAAACAGACAACCTGTGGATACAACTGCAGTTTGATTGTCACTTCTTTCAGTCAAAAATCACATTTACATACAGCACCTCTGTAATACTGGTATCAGAAAATCTATCATTTTTGATGGACCAGTTCCAAAGAGGAGAACAGTGAAACCAAGCATGTACCCACCACTGAACTTACCATGAGCAGGAACAGACACTCCTGCAGGACTGCTCAGATCAGCTTCTCACTAATGGGTTTATGCCCCTTTCCCTCCAGCCCCTGGAATTTGGAAGCAGTCCAGTGTTGCCACTAGAGGCACCAGGAAAACAAACTGCCTTCAGCTGAAGCACCCAAAAGAATCCGTCCAATGTTAAACATACATCTTTGGATACGCTGTAGGATACCACCATTTCAGTGCTCAAAATGTCTGAATCACCTTCAGGCAATTAATTGCAGCAAGGCAAACTGAGGTCACTTGCTTGATTCTCGAAGCACTGGAAGGAAAAGCTGCTAGCAAAGCACAAAGTAGGAAAATATTCATTTCAACAAGAACATGTATAGCCTCTGTGTGTGTCACTGCTGGGAAGAAGCACAAGGTTGTTTACTGTGAGTAGAATGACAGATAGAAAGAACTTATTAGAACTGAGCTGAAAGGCAGGAATAGATGTTCTTCCAATTAAGGCAACAAAGGAAGCAAGACCAAACCCTGGACCTCGTCATCAGAGAGAATAACCACACGGAAGTGAGAATGTTTTCTAACACTTTTTTTTCTCATTTTCTGACAGATTTTTCTAAGTAGTCACCCAAATGTTTAATAGGACAACCAGCACAGATTCTGCCAGGAGCATATTCAGAGGTGCTGAGGACACGACATGTTGAAAGAACAATGCCTACATAGGCTCCTAAGAATTCCATGCAAGGGAGGTGGTGCAGAGGACCAGCAATGCAGTCATTTTGTAATGCTTGTCTGAGTACTGCAGCACAACAGGGAGAAAGCAGATACGAGAGGAGAAAGGATCATCAAAAGGATGAGATCCCCCAAGAATATTGCACTGGTTGAGGCCCCTCACGTCATGATGCTTCATGTCTGTAGCATCAACTGCTACCAGCGTACATGAAGCAAAGCTGACAAATAATACCAGCAGTTCAAATCATATGAAGAATTACAACACAGAAATTTCCTTTCCCTACGCAGAAATGCACAACACTCCAGAAAAGCACAGAAACCTTATGGATATTAAGCAAAGCTCTGCCACCACCATACTGTTTAGAAAGACACCTGTGCCACTCCTGAAGCACAGGACCTGCTCCACTAAAAAATGCAGCCAAGTACTGCAGGTGTCAGCATGTGCTCATTGGGTACCATTTCTCAGTTTGCTGCTGGGAGTTGTCATCTTGGAAACCAGGCTAATGCTCCTGAAGCCTATGATGCTGCACTACAATAAGCTATGCAACTTCATAAATAATGAAGAAAAAAAACCAAGTAGTTTGCTTTGCTTCATAAATAAACAAATCCACATCGTACATCTAAAGCCAAAATTAGGGCAGCGGGCTGCTGTCATCACCTCTGTAGGTTCCACACATCTTCTGTACAAAGGCTGCATTTCTTCAGCAGGTTTAGAGATAGAGCTTCTATTTCATTAGCAGTCTCCTCAGGTGCAAGGGTAAGGAGACCAAAATACCTCAGGCAATATGCAGCTCTGTGCTAGCTCACACTTAGTGGTTTAGTTCTTCAGGGTTGGATACAGGAAAACAATGTTTTTGTATTTCTGGACTCTGAACAACTGGCAATTTTAAAATTATTCAAACACCTTCTTCATGCTAAAAGACAAACAGAAGTGAATTTCACAAGCCCTTCATCGTCATTTTCCTTTTTCTTTTTTTCAGAAAAAGATTACTGCAATTTAAGAGCAACTTATTTCATAAACCAGATGAGAACACAGAGAGGGTAAAGAAGCCTGTGTTGTTGAAGAGCCACAAGAACAGAGAGAAGCCACCACGGTGGAGACTTTGACTTCCCAGCAAAGCCAGTGAACCACCTGGCAGGGCTGGTGTGCGTGGCAGGAAACAGTTCTGTTTTGTTTCAGCACAGCACAGCAGCAAGAAGGTTTCCTGGAAAGCAATTAAGACATCCCCTAGAGGGGATCCCCTCCCCAGAAATATTACTCTATGCCTTTTCTGGAGTTCTGCTAATTTTATTCTTAAAAAATTAAAATAATTAATTCTATGTCATTTTCAAACAATGCGTTTCAGCAGTGGACTTCTTTAAAAAAAAAAAAAAAGTTAGTTTTCAGATCAGCCACCTATCTTAGATACGTTTAAATAGTCATGGTACAAACGAAGGGGCAGTTGCATCAATTTCTTCAAGATGTTTGAAAGCACATTAAAAGCCACCGGTTGCCATGTGCAGTTGTTACTAATGTGTGCAGCTCGCAGAGTTAAAAACAGCTAAAATTCTTGCTATCATTAAGAAAAATCTTAGCACAGTTAAGGAGATACATATTGTAAGATGTAAGAGCGATGGGCGACCTGCAGCCTACGTATTATTCTTCTGTAAAGAGTAAACCAACAGCACAATATGCAGAGCCTTCATAAGAAACGCTTTTTTCCTTTCCTAGTCATCTTTGGACCGGTGGCCTCGTATCACAGACAGCTCTGAATGCAACCTTCCAGCCTCTGCTACCAAGCGGCCTCAAGCTCCCGAAGGGCCGGCGTCTCACAGACTGGTCATGGTGGCTTGGACAGCATAGGTGGCAGCACTGCTATGCATTCCTGCATTCTTCACATTGTGCTCATGAACAAAAGCAGAGTACTGTCCATCTGCAGGGTGGGTCCTCGGCAGGGCCCGCGTGTCCCACAGGCTTCCACCACGTTGGCAGCGGTCGGCAGCGTCAAAGGGCCTGGATCATTGGGGAGCGGGAGGGGCACAATTAGTCATGGGTATGGAGGGGGGGGGAGGAGAGCACAGCAGGAGTAAAGCAAGGAGATTGACAGAAAAAGCCAAGGAAAAATGGTATTGCTGGAAGGTAAATATTGAAGGACAAAGGCATGCAAGAATATGTGCATATTAAGGCGGTGTCAAACAAAGCCTTTCACTGCTCAGCATCATGCATCTTTTTGCAGAAGTTGGAAGCGAGAAGTTGAGCGACCTCCCGTAGGTACTGCCTACACTTATCAGAAGGAAAATCACTTCATATTTCAAAGCACTTCACAAAGCTGAGCAAGAACCACTGCAGATGTGACAGAGGCCTTCCAAGCATACAGCACGCTGCATTTCAGGAGCTGAGAGGGTTCAGATGGCAGCTCTAATTGCACAGCCGAGACCAGCACTGAGACCCTGCTTTCTAGTTTTGCATGTGAAGGCATAATGGTACACAAATGCTCAGTTCATAAAATGAAAATCACAGCAGTGACACGCCTGCTCCAGTTGGAACAGAGCTCTCCAAAAGCTAGTTAGAGCACGAGAGAATGCTCAGCACTTCGAAAGCTGTTTAGAAAAACACTTTCATGCAGGTGCCAATAGATAGAAGCAATAAGGCTTTGGGCACAAGCACCTCCAAAGCAGCAGGGATAAAGAATTTACTCAAAGTGCTGAATTTCAGAACATTTTACAAAACGTTTCTGCTAAGCGCTGTCTTGTACTGGGATCCTTCACTGCAGTGCTTCAGAACACATTGCTGAAAGTTACTATCAGGTACCAAAAAAGAGCTTGAAAAAAAGGGAGCTCTCAAACTACTCAAGAAATTCCTGAAACAAAATTCTCCTTCATTTTCATGTAAAATTCTCTATTCAGTGACCCAAACGTTGCTGTTTTTCATTTAGAGGGCATCTGAGACAGCCCCTCAGTTTAAATTCCATCTTTTCCTGTTCCCAGCCCTGCCAGCCCAGCCAAGCAGCCAGTGCATGCGTTGGGAGATCACATGTGCTAAGGCAGGGAAGCAGAAAAGCATGTGGGATTCACAAGTGGTAAATGATTAACGTGCAGCGATAGTCCTTCTTTTGAAAACAGAGAGGATTTGGGTAAAGCTCAGCCATGGGTAAACTCAGAGAACTCAGAGTTTCAGTTTTTGTAAAATATTCTGGAGAAATGACCCATGAACATCAAATGCACCACTCCTCTACAGTTCATTAAATTATCTTCCAGTTTCTCCAGCTTAAGCAGTTATGAGAAAACTGCATCCACTAGGAAGGAAAAAATCCCTTGTGTATTCACAATACATGAGCAGTCAGTAATCATTTGTCATCTATTCTAGCTCCAGATAGATTCTTGAGAAAAGGTCAAAGTTGGAAAGATACACATTATGTTTTAGGCTTTGCAGCCTTGCAGCCAATTCCAGGCCATTTTAAGACCATCCAGAGCAGTATCATTTTCCGGTGATGACAATTTTATATGAACGGAGAAAAGAAAAGAAAAACATCAGAACCTTTCCTGTCTGGCAGAGTACTTTCTCTGATCTGGCACAAATGCTGTTGGCAGCAGCAGCATTAACATTTCAAATTAAAGGAAACGTTGCCATTAAGAAGGGATCTAATCTGCAACGCAGCCAGCATGGGCATCTGCCAAGGGAAGTACGGAAACGCACAGGGTCGAGACCTCACTTCTAAACCCCTTCAATCCAACCATCAACAAAATCCCCAGTCCGAAATATTTCAGTGCTCTCACCAGCACTTGGCAAGCTCTCTCTAAAAGAAGACTATTTTTCTGACAGGAAGCAAAGATAATCCATGCAGAAACAGGCCAATTAAAGACAGCAGCAGCTGACAAGAGAAATCGTTAGTAGCAGACAGCAAGGCTTGAAGGCAGTACCCAAGCTGCAGCCCCCACACCAGGTAGCTATGCTCCAGACATTGCAAACCTAACCCCACTGCCCAGCTATGAAACAGCATGTAGCTCATCTGCTGACTCAGCTCCAAACTGTTCTCTTTTTCTCACAGCTGGATTTCTCCTTCATTACAGGCAGAACTGCCTCCAATAATCGTGCTATGGCTCTTGAAACCTAACACATACACAGTACAAATATTACTCTCCCGATTAAAACACATTGATTGCCAGGCAGCATGTTTTCTTTATGGGATATTGCTTTGGGTTTCGTGCAGATATACTTTGCATTCTTCTGTAGAAAGGCTACACAGTGCAGCAGCTGGGACAGAAGTTGAGATCCTCAGATAGCATTAAGAGTGACAAACTCAGGTTCTAAATCCTAGAGGAGGCATACCAAGACTGAATCTGAAACAGACTGGTTACAGAGTCCTTTCTGGTTCTGAACAAAAGCATTAGGATCTCCAAGAGAAGCAGAAGCCTTATGAATACCAGCACAAATGTCCGCCTAGATCAGATACCAGGAAGAGTTGTTTGGAGCAGGAGTCAAACATTTTCACCAGAAGAAATAATGGCTGTAGCACACTGCTTGCAGTTAGACCAACAAACAAAAAAACAAAACCATTTTGAGAAGGCTGAAGAACAAAGAAACCACCACCTTTCACCCACCACCATGGAGGGAATCAAGTGATCAACAGGATCTCAGCACAAGCACAGATTTCAGCTACTAGATAAATCAAGGGCAAAAGAAAGAAAAAGAGCATTGATCACATATTCGCACGGAATCGTCAACATAATGCAACAGACAAAGCAAAATTATCCTCCCTTTTATAATACAAAATCCATAGTTTTGAAACTCATCAGTATGATATATCAGTATGATTTGCAAACTTGAGCACATTTGTCACTGCAGGATTTATTCTTAAGAGGTGCTGAAGCAAATCAGATTCATACGCCATTCAATGGGAGAGGGATCTTTTTTCTCTTGAGGGCAGGAAGAGCTTAGGATAAGAGCTTTACTGTCCATCCACTCCACCACAGCTGATCCTCAGAAGTCTCACAGAAATCAGAACTACCCTTCTAGGATCAGCCCTAACAGGCTGAAGAAGGTCAGAAGTGTGCACACATCAGTTTCGGTTCTGAAATACTTTTGCAATATAAAATTTCTTTTAAAATGATAAATGATACAGAAGTTTACTTTCAAACAAATCAAGCTGGTTTTGAGATGCATCAATTCCTTAAACAATGCTCAGATTACATAAAATCAAAGCTCTTATCTTTAGCTCGTGTCATTTTCCTCAAGCTCCCATTCTCCCTAAGACAAAGAAAAGATCAGCTTGTCCATTTAATAAGGTTTTTCTAAGAGATTCAACAAATACAATGATTTACAAGATTCTGCATTTTATAAAGGACAGAGGTAAGTCTTTGGGCTCCACGATACCAAGCAAAGGGTTAAAAGAAATATTAGGACAAAAGAAAAGAACCCAACTCTTTCCAAGAGTTGAAAATGCTGTTCTGGATGCAGTCACTGCAGCCCCGGAGAAACTGTCTTTTGGTTGGCAGTGATTATGCACGTTGCCTTCAGCTCTCCAGACTGCACTCACAGCAACAAATCAGCTCTACCACCCCTAACTTGACTCTCAATTTACGTTAAAGATACCAAGTAGGCAGTTCACTTAAGCACAGAAAACGAAACAGGCACTTGGATCATAACTAAGCAAGCAAAATTCATTTCCCAGCAAAGCCAAACGTACCACTTCTTGTCCTGCTGGCTGCCTCCTGGGCTCCTTGGGAGGTTCTCTATTTCCACTAGGACTGGGGCAGAAGGAACTGCTGCTGTTAGGACAGGTAAGTTTGGCTTCACATTCCAACTCTTTGGAGACAGAACGTAAACAAGTAAGTTGCTATACACACTTCAATTAGGCAATGACATGTTTTATGTAAGAAAACATACGACCGCTTTTCCTTAAGCACAAAGCTAAAACAAGGCTGTTTTCTTGCATTACTTCCACAGCACTGGACGCCTATGCCCAATCTTTTCCAGCAATACACAAACACCAGGATTGGACTGAATTGAAGGCTGCTCAGAAAACTCAGTTTGCATAAAAGCAAAAGCTGGGCAGAGCACCAACTATCTGTTTGCTTCTAGCTGAGACTGTGTTCAACGTTCAAATACACCAGATTTCCAATTCCCACCAATGTGTGACCCTGCAGTGACTGAAATGCTCCAGAAAGCATGACAGGGTCTTTCCAAACTCCAAGTCCTATTTTTTGGTACTCAGAATGAGAGCTACCTTACTGTGTTCAGTGAAACAAGGCCTTGCCTTAACCAGGAATCAACACTGGTGCTGATGGATTATTCCAGGCCTTTTGTATTACTTAGCATGTGGAATTAATGTGCTCTGGATACTAAAATCTTGTACACAGAAGTACTTTCTGTACCTATGAAAACCTGCATTTATAAGTAGAATAATTTATATAGCACAGAGATATGGTATATCCTCTTCATTCCAGATAAGTTAACCAGCTATCTTGCTTTAAATAAGTAGCTACTACTTCACTTGCAGTTTGGTTAACTGCATGTAACTTTTGATAGAGGGAAGGAAATAATGACATCCTCAGATCTGCTGAAACACATGAAAACTGTCTTTAAAAGATGAAAGAGATAGGCCTTACTTGTGATCCATTGGTCTGAGTAATAACAGCACTGTTTGGGAAACTGAAAGATAAAAAAGGATTCACATCAGAATCAGATCAACAAATTCTTGAAGTCTGACAAAAGCGTAAGAATTTTCAAAAAGAAACAAGATTTAACGAAGACCTTCCAACATTAAACATTCTCAACGAAAAGTTTGAAAACTTATGTTCTGGGTCAACCGCCTCATTTTAGAAGAGTAAGGGTTACCATGTTGGTTTGCTTTGTTGTTTTTGTTTTATCTGTAATTCATCTTTGTTTTGTTATTTCCTCTTCCTTTCCTGACTCAGTTCAGCCCTTCTGATTCAGCAGTAAGGCAGGGCACTTTAAAAGCAAAAACTGTATGATTTTTATTTAAACGCTCAATAAAACACAACATTGTCAAAACCTCACTTACATGCTGTAAGTGTTCTGTCTGCTCCTAAACTAACACGCCTCTGATTTAAATTCCATACCACAGTTTGGCAGAAAAAAAAAAAATATCAGAGCTTCTTCTGTATACAGGCTCTAATAGACTGAATTACTACTTTGGTCTTAAAAGCAGCTATTCAAAGTTTTACACACAAAAGTTCAGCACGGCATCAACAATTTTATGCTTTTTGTTATTCTACATATTCAAATGTTTGTGTTTTTGTGAGATTTAAAAGCATGAACATCCTGTACAATAACTAGGTGTTGTAAATCTTATGCAAAGGTAAGTGTTCAAGAAAAGATTTATGGCATTTTTTTTTCCCTTTTTTTTTTTTTAATGGCTCCAGGATCTTACCACTAATTACTTTTTTGATTGATGATCTGGACAACAGCAAACCAATATGGCAAACTGACAATTTAAACAGATCTCTGTTTAAGCTCTTCCTTGCCTGCTTACCAACTTTGCACCTTCTATTCTGAGAGAACGTGGAGGTTACCACAGAAGAGAGCAGAAATATTTAAGAATGCCTTCTGGGCAGCACATTCCCCATTGCTGAGGTAATGCCAGAGAGTGGAACAACATACATCTTTCATGATGCATTTCAATTAGCAACACTGGAGTGTAGAGTTTCAGCAATGGCATTGATTGCTCTGCAGACCAACATAACAATGCCACACCTATGTGGAGATAGAAGGCTGCCCTTATCAGAAGCAAAACTGTATATGGAGTTTCTCCTCCCACTCTCACAATGACCTAAGCAGCATGAAACTCATGGGAGGCCATAACAACAACAGCATGACGAGAGCACTAATTAATCAGGCCGTCACACGTTTCGTGCAGAGGATATTCAAGCACCCGAATGATAACCAGCATTAAAGAGAACTTTCCAGTGTCATGAAAAGGAAAGCCAGCAAAGTAGGGAACTTGCCTATAAAGTCCCAAAGTCAAAGAGACCTCCACTAAAGCAACTGCAGCAGCACTGGCCTCACCTTTCCTAGGCTTCCCCCACTCTCATGGAAGAAGCAGCCTGGACTGAAAGCAAAACTTGGTTCCTCCATTACCAGGGAATTCTTTTAGCCTGGTATCCTCTCTTCCTTGATGGAACATCATAAAACCCAATGATCTGGTTTCATTTCATACTGCAACTATAGTATGAACTTCCACATTCAGAAAGACTCCAGAATAGAAATAGGCATAGAAATGAAGCACCTAAAGGCTTCTCTCTCAGTGCTGGTTGTGACTAATTCGTTACTATCAGTATATAAGAACATTCTCAAAGAATGTACAAATAAATGTAAGTACAGTACAGAATTTAAAGATAAAAGCACTTCAAACACTTACATATCTCAATACATTGCCAGAATAGGCAGATCTCAGCAAGAACCTCATGTTTTCACTTGATCTTTTTACATGGCAGCACAGGGAACTACAGCTTATAATCTGCAAGTTATCAGCAGCTTATAATCATAGCTAGTCATAAACAAATAATGTTGCCCTCTAGTAAGCAAAATCTTCAAATAGTAGGATTCGTTTAAGGCAAACAAACAGAAAATCCACAGCAAAACTACAGGTAAGAGGTGAATGCCATTTACATTCAACTAATCTTATAACTACCTGCAGACATGCACTCAAATATAGCTGACAAACATCAAAGAGAAAGGTTTAGAATGCATCTTACCTCGTTTCTTCAAGTTTAGCAACATGTGCTGCAAAAGTATACATAAAGTGTTAATTAAAAAATTTGTAATTAACCTGTCAGTTAAATATTACAGTGTATAATTAACATAGTCAAGCACTGACTAAAAGTAGGCAGCTAAAGACCAAACGTTGCATGCATCCCATGTATAACGTGTGAAAAACAAAGTTTTAAATTGTAAAAATAAATAATCTCAAGAGTAAACCAAAGATGTGGATTTAAGCAAAGATCTGCCTGGAGGTCACTTTGCAAGAAGGAGGAATAAGAGACAAAGTGAGCACTACATGCTGCCAGGCAGCACGTTGTGCTTTGGACACAAACATTTTCTGACAAATAGACATTACCTCCAGAATAAGTCCAAAGAAACCTAATTTCGAAAATTCAAGAGAAGCAATAGGAAAATGCCTACACAGAACCTTTTAAGGACATGATCATCTTTAGAGGAGGTCATCACAGTGGACTGTACGCATCTCAAAAAGAAAAGTCACTCGCTTACCTTTCATTTGTAGCGTCCGTCTTGAGTATCTTTTGCTGGGCCTCCTTTCAAAGGATGCTGATCTCCTTGCTTTGTTGGTCTTGGTGGTTTGGTATTCTGTTTTCCCACTAACAGTGCCAAGTAAACAACAACATCACTTTTTATGATGGAAAAGAGACACTGTACACAAAAATATTACATTTCTAACTTAAATTCATACTTCAATAATCAGATCTCAGTTCTATTTTAAAAGTCCCAAACTTAACACTTCAGAAAGTCACAAAAAAAGGAATTTTATGACATCTACCCTTCGTCCATTTTCCCAAAACAAAAAGCTGAAGGAAAGACTTCTTAAACATTAAGTTGCTGAGAGAGCAAATTTTCCTTTGCTCACTTCTTGGTGATGGTACATACACAGACAGAGGCTGAAAATTCTAGTAGGAAATAAAACTTAAGGTAGCTTGCCAAAACTCATAGAAAAAGGCAGTAACAAAGCTAAAATGATAACATCTAGATATTCTAATTCCCAGGCAAGTCTTCTTTCCCCAAGGATTATTTTCCGTAAGCATTTTCAGTACATTGTTTTCCTCAGGACTCTGTAAGAAAAGGGCTTGGTGTTGGGCTTTTTTTTTCCTTTTTATTTTTTTTTCCCTGTAGTATGTGTTACCAGGGTGATTGCTAGTTGCAGTTATCTCATAATTCTTGTGGCCTCACACTACACACCGAGTTCAGATTGAAAACTGATGGACCCAACAGACCTGTACCGGAAGCGGGAGCCCAGCCGAATGAAGCCTGATCTGCTTGAGCTTTTTTGGACAGGACCTCGGAGCCGGAAGAAGGCGTGATGTTCCACTGCACATTTCCACAAGTGTTTGCAAGCCTTGGGGTGATCCAGTCTAAAGACAAAAGTATGCTCCTGCTCCTTCCCCTTAAAACACACAAAGTACGCTAATGATTTGTAAGAGGCTTAAACAAATCAAAGACACAATTACATGCAGGCCAAGTGGAATACTTTTTTTAATAGATACTAAAATTTGTGGTAAAGGAGAAATAATTAAGGCAGAAAAATTAATCTTCTTGGAAGATTTAAAGAATAACTGCTCCAATGTCTTACGCTGGGAATGGCCAGCACCTGTAAATTTCACAAAGCAAATCTTAACTAACTACAAGTTAGAGACATTACTATTATTGTTATTATTATTATTACTATTATAGAAAGGGTAAAGTCTATGAGGCTAACTTGGTTTCACTTCCAAATCTGATCTCTTCAAATTAACAATGCTCACATTTTTATCTTCTCAGCTCTGAGCAATTTCTTCCCACGGGAACAACTGTGGCATCTGTCCAAAGAATTCAATCCACTAGAAGTGCTACCTGGCCTTTTGAAAAACCTTCTTGCACAATGCACCAAAACCAGTACATGGTTTCCAAATTATCTGATCTTCAGTAGTTTAATGAGGTATTCCTCTTTTAAAAACAGGGTGAGAAAAGAAGTGATTTAGCTTTTTTATTTCACATTTAACTTCCTTTATTCTTCACAAAAAGTCACAATCAAAAATCTTGGAAGGCATCTGTGTTAATTCTCAAAACTTACAGATCAGGAGCATATAAACTAGTATTATATAATCAAGATTGAGATGTAACTAAACAGATTGTTATCTACCTGTTCATCATCTTCAACAACAACAAGAGTGAGTTTGTTCTTCTTGAAGTCAAGTCTTGTTATCTTTGGCCTGCAAGATGAACAGAAAAAACAGGTTATGTTCAGCTCTGTCAATAGCAGCTCAGTGAGAGCTAGGTTAGACGTGATGATCCAAGTTTTTCTACCTCCTTCCCTGCTTCCTTTTTTTGTGGGTGGTTTAAGTTCAGGCAGCAGAGCTTCATTATACCAATGGATGGCAATACATTACTTTCAAATTTAACACTTCAGTAGAAACTTTCAAGTAAAAAGCAACTTCCAAACAGTTCGATCTATCAGAATTAAAATAATAATTACTTGAATGGAAATCAGACTTCCCAAATACCACTGCATGCCTCATCTTCCACAAGCACACAAAACTGAACTCATAGATACAAAGGCAGATCAAACCTTTCTAACGCATCATCAAATGCATTATTAAAAAAACCCAACAGCCTGTAGAGTATACTGTACATCATTTGCAATGCTGGCTGTTTCAGAAAATTCCAAATGCAGACAATACGGTACGACATAAATGTATCCACTTTCCTACCCAACCAGCAAAAAAATACCTAGACAACGATGGAGGGGCTCCTGTACTGAGTTGACAGGACACACAACTAGTATTTTTGCCACAAAGTGAGTGTTTCTCTGCAAAATTTATAGGACTGGACTAAAAGTAACTATTCTTACGATGAAATTTTGCTCACCATCTGCCTGCTCATTCTCTGTACATGATTAAAAAAAAAATTGTTTCTGGATGCTGTAAAAATGCTTCACGGGTCTTGCAGGTACCCAGTATTCCCACTTCTCTCATGTTAAAAAGCAAAAATAAAAATTGGGTAGTGCAAAAGAAAGAGTGAAGATATAAATTGTATCTCAATGCACAATTGGAAAGCTTACCAGAAAAACAAACCAATCTTTGTGTCTCCTTCAAAGACGAGAACTCCTGTAGGGGTTAGTCCCAGGCTGTAATCATTGCCATCCCTTGCCTAAATACCACAGAATAAAAATCATGCTCATTTCAGTGTTTGACTACATATCCACATTACCCAGTGATTAATATAGCTTATTTGCCCAGTGTGACCGTTAAACATGTATCTGGTTATTTAGTGCAATAAGGATGTCCTAAGTGTTTCTACATTCAATGATCTTATGCAACGGGTTTTTCTAGATGGCATCCCTTCAAAAAGACAAAAATAAAATGGAAAACCCAAGTTTCTTGATTTGTCTTTGTAATAAGGACTGCCTTTGTGCGGTCCTTCTCCACAGAACATCTATTTTTACTTGCAGTTTTTCAAGAGGTGACTAACTGGACTCTGGCCACTTTTAATTTAATTACTATGATTTGCACTTAGCTCTCAGTCAAAATACAAACAACAGAATGCCACACCAAGTGCATATTTCATACAGAGCAAATATCCTTGGATTTCTATCATCTAGAAAAGCACAATATAAGGCAGAATGTTGATAGAAAGTCACATCACTTGTTACATACTTTAGATGAGTACTGTGCTCCATTTTTCTCCCTCAGAGCAAAACCTGTGTTTAAACGCTGGACAAAGCTAACATTATCATTTCAAAAGGTCACCATGCTGTGGTTAAACATACCTTGACTATGTGCATGTCTACACCATACATTTCCAGCCACTTAGCTTTGTTTAAGTAGTTAGTTTCAGCCTGTGCTGGTGTTTGCCCCCTGAAATACATTTTTTGCGTTAGGTTAATGCCTGAAGAAGCACAGAAAGAAAAAACTGGCATACGAGGAAAGAGGAGAAGAAAGCATGAGAGGTTGTGAAAAACCTAAGCACTGCTGACCCTCCTTCACCTTCACTAACATGAAGGTCACTTTCGAAAGTTTTAACGCAAAATCTTTGCAGCAAAAATTGTTGCATTTCAAGATTCTGCAACCTCATTGTTTTACTCAGACCTTTGGAAAGCTTCATTTTTCATATTACATCCTTTAACAAAATATGACAGAAACACATTAGGATTACATTTTTCTATAAGAACAAGAAAAAAGCATCAGCAGTATCTTCTTAGTATGCTCACTTCATAGAAAAATGAGTGCAAACTTGGTTGGCATGCACTGGAAAATCTTGTACCTGCATTCCTTCCACTTCTCGAAGATGGCCAGCTCCATCTCCTCAGTCTGAGTAGGCACAAATCTGAACTCAGATACCAGCTCAGGGACATGCTCAGCAGGATCGTAGTCCCCAAGTTCAGCTGTAACAGAACAGCATTATCAGTGTTCACCATAAAGACAGAAAATACGAACAGGAACTGTTGTGTCCTTTTCTAGTTCAGATACTAATGCTTCTTTCTGTGCTCCCCCTTCTCTTCTCAGTCTTCCCTGTAATTGCAGTGTCACCTTTTATTGACAAGGAAGTTAGGGACACACAAAAAAATTATTTTACTGTCTACACAAAAGTTTTATTAACTTTTATTAATTATTTATTAATTTTATTAAAAAAAAGCTTCTTATAAGTTGAAGTTATCAACATCCTTGAAACTATTCTTGTGGAAAATTTTCAATCTTTTTGTCACTGATGTCTCCACTGAGCCAACAGCTGACTCAAGTTACAATGGAATTCTGTATTGAGTTATTAAAATGTATTCAACTTGTAAAATGCAAAAACAGTTTTTAGCTTTCCGTGAATTATTTGTCCTGCTCTAAAAATTAATTTTTGGTTTTGTGACGATAAATCCGTCCTGCTAAAGTTACTCTGTATCAGGATGTCATCATATAGGTGGTGGTTTTTCTCTTTCCCTTTCTCAAGGACTGCAATGTCAGTACCAAATGGCTCATCTAGTACCCTGCTGCACGCCCAGCAGGGGCAAGAAATGATGCTACGTAGAGAGCATACTGGAACATAGTAGTCTGTGGGTGTGCTCTGTCAAAGTGCAGCCCTCTTTTTCCACAGATGCTAACGAGTCCTGCTGGAAAGACTGATGTATGCCTAAAATGCTGACATTCAGTTAAGAAACTTTTACAAGGAAGTCCTGATTCCCAGTCACTGCATATTTGCTCCTCCCACTGATTTCAAGTGGGTTCTTGATGTTCAACTTCTATCCAAAAATTCAGAAGTAATTCTAACTTGGAACTTGATCTTCCAATAAATGCTAATAATTATTCTGTCTGCAAAAAGAAACTACATATGTTATACAGGAAAAAGAAAGAAAGGAACGTATTTGAAAAGCACAGAAAAGTCAAACCTATAAAGTACTCCACAGGTGCACAAACTACACACAACACAATGATGTGTCTTGGATTTCTGAACACAGTGGATATATTAACAGCCTTTTTGCTCCCCTCCTTCTCTCTTCTTTTCTTTTTGATTATTTTTTTTTTCAATGCTGGCAGAGGAAGTCTGTAGTTCCATAATAATTTACTCCCACTAAAACGCCTGCCTCTGTTGAAAGGAATGCTGTCAAAGCCAGCTTGGGTTCCAGCTGATTTAAATGAGAGTACACAGCTGTCAGACAGCAAGATGAAAGCCCTGCTGCAGGCCTCATTGCAGAGGGAGGAAAGAAAAGACCAGCACAAAAAGAAATGTGTATATGGTCCAATTAGATCACTTAGATTTTCCAAAAAGTTACACACTGAACCCGTATCTTTAGGCTCTAACAATGCTAATATTTTTAACTGCAGATTGTATGCTATCTGTTTTTCTTCCATTCAAAAGAACAGGGGAAGAAGACAGGTTTCTTTACAGCTTAACACCAGCTCTCTGTACCTACACGTGATCAGGGCTATTAGTAGCTCCTCCCCTTAAGAAGGCAAAACATGTTTTGGAAAATATCCGTAAGAGGAAGAATTTCAGTGACCTGGCCCTGTTACCTAACTCCTGCTCACCAAGTGCAACAGTACGCTGCTTTACAAGATGAATGCTGCACAGTGGATTTGTGCTGCACAAACACATGGCACATCTCCAAATTCCCTTTTCCGTACCACAGCTTCACAACAGATTCTGGGATGTTTTTGTAGACTCAAACTGGGTTGAACGAGGCCACATTGCTATATCCTCCAAAAAGGATATAATCCAGACACATCTGGAACTTCAAGCCTCCCCTCTTTTGTGGGTTTCTCTGAAACTACAGCAAGCTTCACGTTTGTTAGGATCACATCCTCAAGTAACAGCCACAAAGATCAATGATGCACACCCTACGCAAGTAGGTAAAGGACACACTGCAGCTCTCAGGGAAACCATGGATAGGCAGTTCCCAGGTGGAATCAGAAGTCAAAGGCAACTCATTAATATGATATATAATAAACTCATTAATATTAATATTAATATGTATATATATATAAAGCTATTCAGGCAACTTCATCCTTCCCCCTCATACCTACTTACCTTGCATATTATAAGCTGCCAACTGGACGGCTGTGTCAAAAGGACATTCCAACCTGCCCAAAGAGAAATGCCTCATTAAAACCTCTTCTGGCACTATTTAGCAGACAACTCATACACCAGACAGTGAGAAACTACAAACATTTGGTACAAAAGTGAAAAAGGATTAGTAGATTTTCACCAAATTAATGAGACAAGTACCAAGCTAAATGAGCACTACTCATGCAACAAAAGTATAGAGTTCTAAAGAAAAATTCATTACTTAGCAAAACTTACTAGTCATCCAAACATGGAAGTTTAATAAATCCTATGCTAATCACTGTGTAGTTGTCCAAAAGACTGCTTATCAGGAATACTTACTTTCCACTCAGAATATCCAGTTTTAGCTGCAGAACAAATAAATACCTGCAGGATTAAATGAGAAGTCATTGATTAACAGTTCTAATGTGTCACTCAGTTCAGACAAAGCAGTTAGAGCCTGAAAAACTTAAGTTTTCTTCTCCTTACAGAGCTTTTCAAGACAGAAGAAATTGCATTAAGTATGCTTCACCAATTGAGTTAGTGTGGCACACATTTCAAATGACATAAGCCCTGAACTGGAAGTTGTCAGAAGATGAACTATACACCTGCATGGAAAAACAAAACGGAATATCTAAGTCTCATCAGGATCAGCAGAAAAGGATGGGGATGCAGGTGACAGCAGGCTCAGCGTGAGTCAACAGCATGTCCTGTCAGCCAAAACTGCATTTTGGGATGTATTCATTCAATAGTTCATGATCAGTTGGTCAAAAGAGATGATTCTCCTGCTATATTCAGTGTTGGTAGATTTTACATCACTGCCTTGCTTATTTAGTATTCTCCTTCTTGTGTAAACCAAGCAGGCATTAAATGAAAAGCGTTTACCCCCTCCAGCGTGCAGCATCTTCCAATCCAACAGCACAGCCTTCTTTCTGTATTATAGCACAGCTTTACATTAACAACAGAAGCAGTCTCACCAGCTGAAAGGATGACTTCAGCAATAGCATCCAGATTGAATTCCACTGCAGTTGAACAGAAGTCTTACATGAAGGCAAAGATGATGTTTCTGTTTCAGCCCTGACGTTCACTAAGATCATTTGTGTCTTATGTCTGCTCATACCCACATACATGGATGTGAAACTGATGCAGGCAGCTTTTCTACAGATCCCTCAGAAATCCACAAGTACTTTGACAAAGCACTCGTTATCCAAACCTGGCCTCTACATAAGGAATGCATTTGTTTAGTAGTGACCCTAGATATCCAAAGAATGAGCACAGACTCCCAGTGTGCAGTGGGTGTGACCAACCTGTGCTTATCTGCCACACAACACTTGCAAACACAATTCAAGCACACTTCCCGTGCTCAGGCTGCGTTACATGACCTCTGACTGGTAACAACTAGCAGGAAACCAGCAGAAAATGTGACCAAGCTGCACCTGTGGAAACTGATGACAACAGTCTCCAGCTGCATGTCCTATCATAAGATAAAGTGGAACTCCTGGAAAGCCATAGTATCACCTGTAACCCAGAGCACAGCTCCTCTTCCCACTGCAGCTTCATGAAACTGTCTCAAGACAGAAGACAGGCGTGCTGCACTCCTGGTCTGGGGGATTAGCTAAGTAGATAGACAGGGTTTAAAAGCCCTCAGGTTTCAGTTCTGTCATGCTAAAACCTGCACAGTGAGGTCTGACTGGCAGAACTCAGTCAAGACAGATGAAAATGTTTCAGATTGGTAGACAGATACTGGTCTGAACTCTTCCTATTACTATGATTTTTAAAGATAACTATCTGTTGATCTGGGTACATAAAACAGGAAGTAAAACGTTCCTCCCAGGTTACCAAGAAGAAATTTAAACAATTCTAACATGAAATTAACAGATGTGAGTAAGAAGCTGCACAGAGTACATATGGTTGCAAAGGGTAATGCTACTGTAATCTTCCTGGTGGCACTCTGAGGGATTTGGCTGGAGTGCAGATCTACGATTCACACAGAGATAAACACCAACACCAAGCACACCCACTTCGCACTCTTAAAAATGGCTGGGGGTACGAAGTGTCTACAGCTGTCAAGAAAACATAACAACTTTGTTTTCTCTCCAAAATGGATCATCAGCAGTGGCGACAACAATGCGAAGTAACAGTTTTTCACAACAGATTTATACAGCTGACAGATGGTAAGTTGTGTTCCCTTTCAAAGCACCCCAAATACGTCTCAGTCCAACATGAAATGCAGCACTGTGAACGAGCATACAAAATGCTTTTAACGAGAGAATTATCTGCTCACCTGACAGTACAATCCTCCACAGGCAGTACTGTCAGCCCACCTCAAAGCAGTTCACACTTACACAGCATTTTCTCTTTGTGTAACCACTGCAAAGATTATGGATGCAATGAAACATAACCTACCTTATTTCTACCAAAGAAAAGCCTGCAGGTCAGTGCTTTTCTGCCTAAAAAAAGAGGCAGCTAAAACTAAATGCATTCAGCAGAATACAGATAAATGATAGCACGTCAGTAAAAACGTCTGTCCATTGCATTGTATAAACAGACAGGCTGCTGGAGATGCATAATGAAAAATAATGCATAAGCTAATATAGCAAATACTGATACATTTACCAACAGCCAGGTAAACCATCAGCTTTAAGCAGTTCTCCAGAGCACTGCATAATTGTTCAAAGAAATACCCCAAAGCCACACTTCCCTGGCCTTTTTCAGGCTCTCATGGCTGTCCCCTTCACAAAATCCATCCCACCTTGTTAGCTCCTCACGCAGATTGTTGGGCTCTGACGAGTAAAACTTGACACGAAAATGCAGACAGTATGGCGGGCCGACTGCAAAGGAGAATTCATTCAAGACAGAGTTAACATGTACCAGGTGAGACTTTTTTTTATTATTATTATTACACAGAATCACATCTCAAACACTGACTGAAATCAGCACTGTCCTACCACAAGATCTTAAGGTAGGAATTTGTCTGTGACATGGAAGCGCAGGGTGAAAGTACACTTAAATATACACACAAAAATGCTGTGTGTGTTACACATCCATCCAGGAGTCATATCACATTAAGTTGATGTGTCCTGCCTAGCATGTGAAAATCCAGGTTAATCCCTCATATTTAAGGGCTCCATCCATCACCAAGAAAGCTGCGGATCTTGGCTCTGTGGTCAGTTCAATTCCTACACTGCACACTGTGAGCCTCTCCGGTGACTTTCCATAGCTCTGGGAAGCACACACTATTGACAATTTTTATCTGTATATTCCAGTAAATTTTTGACATATTTGAGGGGAGATATAATAGACCCTTCTGTGGAAGAATCATAATCTCTGGAAACCGAAGAGTTAATCCAGCAGAAGGATGGTTTAACAGTTCTTTAAAAATGCACAGCCCTCTGTACATTCCTGTATCTTGACATTAGGAATTTTCTTTTGGTGCTTCCAAAATGTTTGTTTTACTAATAAGAGCACTACAAATCCCCAGAGACTTCCTGCATCAGGCAGAGAGGAAGCTGCTGGACTAAATCAGCTGAAATCAGCTGATCTCCCAGATTACCCAAACATGGACCACAGACTCAAGCAGGCCACAGTGAGAGTTGTACTGTGGGTAATGAATGACTGGAGAGATGGACTCAAACAGTGAGGCATTCTGGGCTACTGCAGGGGATGGAGGCTCCAAGACAAGTTTTCCTATAGACTGGATAAAGATCTGTGGTACTAAAGCACCTTCAGCTGCCTTGTGTCTATTTAAACTATAATTAATGAGCCTCTAACATGTTTAATTAAGGGCATTAGATGAAAGTAATATGAGCTGTAGAGGGAAGAGGTCATTAAGCAGTGAGCAGCTACACACTGGGTTTTGTCCCTGTGTTTTCCTTCCTGAGCACGGCCCCTCTCACACCTCACACTGCTCAACTCTGTACCTCCTGCTCAGTGTGTGGTTCAAAGAGAAAATGGGAAGGACACTTACTTTTAACTTGCTTTTTGATGCTTTTTGTGTTGTCCAACCAGTGCTGAAAAATAAATGCATTCATCAATAAGGAGAGAAGACAATAAAAAAAACCCTGCATTTTAATTTTAATGAAGACCATTTTGTAAAAACAACTAGTCTATTAAAATGGTCTAATCCAAATCTTTTACAATTCTCAGTTCTTAGTGCCTACTGAAGATACTTTCAGCCAAAATTTATAATGCAAATGTTAGTAACAGAATCATCCTGACTTACCTTGTTTAAATCCAATTGTCAAGAACGTATCACCCATTTAAAAGTATTCTGCCACTATTTCTTTTTTCAACTACTAAAAAATTCACCCTAAAAAATCCAACCAGAAACTGACCCACACATCAATAATCAGGCAGAGTAATCCAGGGAGGCAGAAACCAGAACCGGACTTTCTGACTCAGCTGAGATCACTTAGATGTGGAGAGGACAAACAAAGTAAATATTGTTGTCTTTTGGTCCTTCTTTCTGGATCACACAGTGCAGTAAATACCAGCAGAGCTGTGGATGTCTGAACAAAGCAGTCAGCTCCACACGATTCTCCAGTCTATTTGCAGCTGACATTTCAGCAATTGTTACATGGGAGTACAGAAGTTAGCGCCTCATTTACTAATGCTAATTCTAAACTCTATACTAGACATAAAGGCTGACTACTCAAAGCCAAAATAATGGTTTAATTTATACTGCACACAAGAGCATGTGAAAAGTAAGCTGTAGATGGCAGGCCGAGAGAAACTCCTACACATATATCATGCTTCCTAACACAACTGCACAAACAGCCACTGCTGAAGTGTTTACACCAGAAATTGAAGTTGGGAAACCAGCACCCAGCTAGCAGAAGAAACCTGCTTTGGAGGGCCATCAATACCTGGACAGCTTGCAGCACCTAAGTGACTCAGTGCATCAGGAATCCTAGCACCCCATGCAATGTAATGGCATGGGCTGAACAAGCTGTCCTGCACCCCGTGTCCTGGGTGCTCGCAGTGCCCAGGTAACACTGCATTACCACCCCAAGCCCAAATGGCACCTCACAGCTCATACAGACAAACTCCATAACTAGCAGCACGCCTTCGGTTCAGCTGTGTGCCATGAAATTCGGAGCGGGCCCCAAGGAGGGCAGGAAAGCAACAGGACTATGAGACAGAACCGGTACTGCCAGGTTGTGATGCCAAGTGCAAACCTGTTCCTGCACTCGGGGCAGGGCTGTCACACAGCCAGGATGCAGAGACTAATGGATCAGGTGGAGATCAGAACACCACCAACTGCTGCACATGCCCTTAATAGTCATTTAAACAGAGTAGCTACAGAAAGCTATTTAAAATGTTATCTACTATTTCTAAAATAAAGCAGGAACCTTAAAGAGGAATGAAGTAAATATTTGTCAGCTCTGCTTACAGAGCCATTAAATGGAGTATTTAATAAAAAAAAAAAAAAGCTAAGATCTCTCTTCCTATTCCAAAAACTCATTGCTCTGAGAGAACTGACTTACTCCTTCCACCATAACAACATACACTCTCCACCTGAGGCTTGCAGGTGATTTAGACACAGGATAGGCTAAGAGAGCCTCTGCAGACCACCAGAGCAGCTGTGTGCCCGCCTCACTGCCCTTCTGCTTTCTCTCATCTCCTCCACATTCCAGTGCAGGCTCTGGGAGGCCCAAGACAGGCACTGAGCATCCAAGTCTGCTCAGCAGGGCTGCTGCCTGCAGAGCCTGCTTGGGATGGCGGTGCATGGCAGAAGGGAAACAACTGCTTTCCAACGGAGGGCAAGGAAGGAAAAAACCCACCATGTGCATGGATGCACACAGACATCAGCAAACTTAAGATTTACTTCAAGTGATTAAAATGGAATTCAAGTGGACCTGGCAAAAAGATCCTTTACGTTCACACTGACGAGAGTTTGTACAATGCAGCCTGCTGCTAAAATCCAGAGATAAAGCTCCCTAAACAACAGGCAGCACATGGAGCAAAGTACTGGGAGTCATTACTGAAACAGTCTGCTTCTTCAGAAATAATAATCTAAAAAACAGCAACAGTTCAAGAAGGTAGGGCAAATAAGTTTTTGTTGCTGCTTTGTTCTTAATTAAGATGGTGAGGGTAAAACCTGCCCCTGTTTGTGAACCTCACGGCTGCATACGTGGTGCAATGCTGTACAGCCACTTCCAGCACTGAATGCTACAGATGGCAAAACAGCTGCTGAAGAAACAGAGCTCTGCACTATCACTCCATTAGGAACAGCAAGTCTTTGATGCTTGCAACTTAAACAGTTAGTAAATTCCTAAGTTCAGCAGTCAGCACTTCCTTACAAGAAACGTCTTTTCCATGTGGCTAAGGGGAAAGCCAAAAGCCCAGCAAGTTATCCCCAGCCTTTTTAGGTCCCATCACTGGGCATGCTATGCTGCTCAGCATCAGCCTGAACCAAAGCTGCTCAAATTCAAACACCCTGTTCCCTTGGCTTCAGTAGCACTCAGATCAAGCCTGGCACGCTGTGGACAAACATGTAAATACGTCCTTTGCCTCTTACTGTGACTATCCTTATCCACCAGACCAGCAATTAACACAGAGATGACATGAAAAAGACAGTTTTTTCACATCACAAATTCCTTCAACAACTATCTGAATGCTCAAGTGCAAAATATCAGGAAGAGCTTGTCTTACATTTTGTTTTGTTTTTCTGAGCACATCATAAATTCGAACGCTGACCTCCTACCAGTCACTGAAGTTCAAAAGAATCAATAAAAGGCATCTACATATTTGGAATAGTATCCTTTGTATAGATGTGATTTACTGAACATTCATTTGTAATCAAAACAAGCAGTTTCTCTCAGATATTGTTTTTTCCAGCTACCTACACGTTGCTAGCTTTCTAGGGTTTTTATGCTTTTTTTTTTTTTTAAATATCTTCACGTGCAGCCAGGCAGTGAAGCAATATAATTAGATTTAAATTGGGTAGCAGAAATGATTTCTTCCTTCAGAGTTAGTGGATAGTCCTGTTCACTATGAGACTGGACTCTTGTGCTGTTGATTTAGCAAGTCTGCTGAGTAACTGTTGAAAAGTCACTTGGTAGACCCTGCCTTTGTTTCCAGGTTTTCTTTGTGCACCAACCGCATTTCTACCAGAACGTGCCAGTTCCCCTTTGCAAGAAAGCTGCCATCACAATAGCTGCTCAGCTCCTGAAGCAGTTGTCTCCGGCGGTGGTGCTCAGCTCTGATGGCACAAAGCAATCCTTCCTGCTTTGTTACAAAGAAAGTATCTTCGATGTCCAGTTTAAACAGACGGTAGCTTCTACCGAGCCTCATACATAGCTAAGAAAAATAAACAAAACTTCAAAACCGCTTTGTACCTGGTACGGGGTGTGCTATCAGGTACTCATCATGGTTGTCTGGACAGGAAGCAACAATTCGCTGACAAAAGTGAGCCATAAGCCACTTCTCAGACAGAAAACCTTCACAGGTTTCACAGTTTCAGGACAAACTGACATTGCCTGACAATAATACAGTCCGGGCCAACAGCTTAGCACACAGGTTGTGCCATCAGTTACAACTAACTCCCCACGGGATCCTAGGAGCTCACAGAAATGCTTCAGATGCCACAAGTCAGAATATCTAAAGCAAATTACATCTCTTCTGAAGTGGATAAATAGATGCAATGGAGCCATTTACTAACAATACCTACTATCATCACCTCTGACTGTGCATGCTTAACACAGCTAACACGACTTTCATAAATATAAAGAGGTGTGCAGTAGACTGCCTTCTAATTTCTGTTGACAGGAGGTATGCATGGCTCTAAATAACATCCCCCCTCCTCAGAACAAGCCTTTTCCTCCTCAGAGCTACACCTCTCTGCTCTGCGAGAGGCTGACACCCAGCAGCAGCCAGTCCTTCTGGTCACGGAGCTTGCTTTGGGTGCCAAAGAGTCAAATGCTTTCTCCTCAAAAGAGGAATGCATGATTACAGGTTGAACACAAAACTTGACCTCAGTAATTCTGAACAGAAGCCATCAGGCTTACAAACACAGGTGCACTAAGATATCCTAACATTCCACTTAAACACAAAAGGAAAAAATAATAAGGAAGTACACAAGGAGCTATCCTTGCAGGCTAAGCCATGAAAAGCACCTATATAAAACTATACAAGTGCATGTGAAAGAAGGGTGGGTGCTCATGACAAGCAATGCTCTGCTGCTGTTTTCAAAAGCAGCTGCATTTTCACAAACTAGCTTCCAAGAGGTTTCCGTGAAAACCATCTGGTATGTACACAACCATATCCTCCCAGAGACAACACACAGCTTCAGTTTTCTTTGGGCTTTTTGGTCAATATTGCAATTTAACATTGAGATTGACTGCTACTCACCGCCACTTGTGCAGAATCCATGAACCTTAATCCAAAATAGTCGCTTTCTATAAGGTCCAGATGATACATGATCTGCTCAAACAGGAGCTGGCCTTTGGCTTTTTTCTGAAAAGACAGAAGGATTTAATACCTACTGCACAATCTGCTCTCTTACCTAAGTATGCTTTACATTGTAATTACAAAAGTAAGATGACTCAGAAATTAAGCTTCCTAGAATATAACCTGGAAAAGATTTTTCTCTCATGTTTTGTGATGCCTATTTTTCTGAATGCCAAACGCACACCTCACAAGAAGCATCTGTAATATCCTTGTATGCCATGCATAATTAGGGAGGGAAGAGCTAGGTTGCATGTCGGCGGAATTTCTTTACAGAGAGAGTGGTGAGGTGCTGAAACAGGCTGCCAGAGAGGCTGTGGATGCCCCGTCCCTGCAGGTGTTCAAGTCCAGGTTGGTCAGGGCCCTGAGCAGCCTGGTCTGGCGTTAAATGGGGAGGTTGGTGGCCCTGCCTGTGGCAGGGAGGTTGGAGTTTCACAATCCTCGAGGTCCCTTCCAACCCTGGCCATTCTGTGATTCTGTGATAATGCCCTTTTTCGGAAAGTATTCACATGGACTTGACAAGGCTGACAGTATTAGAATATCATTTAATCACTGTCCCTTTCAGGCTTTCCTTATCCATTGATAAGGAATGGGAAACACAACTGGTGTCACTTGTCAATTGTCACACAATTGGTGACAATATCGAACACAGCGAAACATTTTCAGAGTGAATTATAGGAGAAGTTACCATAGAAATCACCAGTTTGCTGTCTAGGCAACTCACAAGTGGATAGAAAAGCAGGCTGAAATAGGATATAGCATTCCATTAGCAAGTGCTTCTAGTGACTGCCAGAAACAGTCTGGGGCAAGGAACTTCAACAAACAGTACTTAAGATAAGGCATTTACATAAAGCTCAACTTGAAGCTGCAAAAAGCCATTGCATATGCTCATACATAATTTATGACAAAACCTTAGCTCCAGTCCCATGTAAACACTGCTTTTAAAGTGATGATCTAAAAAATCAAAAATTAATTAAGCCTTTTAAAGAGAAAGCATGTAAATAACACTAAGCAGGTTTGATACCACATGCATTTTTCATGGTAAGAACTCCTTCATAAAAATACACCGGGATAAAAAGTACAACGACTACGTTGAGATGTACACTTCATCAAACTCATCCCGGGCAATTTTATCTGTTGATGTGAAATAAAGTGCTTTTTGGACATGAGATAAGTGCTTTTTGGACAGCAGCAGATTTGCTAGACAGCAGCGAGACTCTCCCAGCAGCAGCCTTAAGGCAAATTGCCTGCATGTAAAAACATCTCATCCACGACTTGAGTCAGTGATGTCTATCTGCAAAGAGCAAGGCACTGGTTCTACTGAGATGTTCCTGGCACACACTGTATTTTCTTCTTAAGCACACAATATACAGGCAGAAGTAAAATTAAATCATCATTTGCAACAGCAAAACTAGAAGGCGGCCTCATCTTGCACAAAGCATTCTGCACCTGATTTCAAACTAAAGGGACATTTCCACCTTATTCTGCAGAATATTTTAGATTCTTCTCAATTCTGCATGAAGTCACTCCTTAGGACTGTCATTAACCACTTATCCCAGCCAAACACCATGGCTAAAAGCCCTGCTGGGGATAGGCAACGGAGCAGCTTAACTCAGAGCTGGAGTTATGGCACGCACCACCTGAGGAAGCAACAAGTGAAACGCACACCCACAACGGGTGGATTCCCTGCTGCAGCTCAGCAGGATGCCAGTCTCAGCAGCACACCAAAGGTTCACTGGGAGTGGGCTCAGAGTGAGCAATGCAGGAGAACAGCTTCGAAGCAGCGGCAGGAGGTTTTCCAGGGCCGCTGGCTGCCTTCTGACTTAAATCACCGAGTTGTCAGCACAGAATTAATTATGCAGCACTTTGCATGTGACTGAAACCCTCAGCTGTGTATTCGGTGTAGGTCAGCAAAAGTTTCACACGCTCCCCAGTGTTAAGTTCAAACTCTTCAAGGCTTACTGAAGTCCTCCTTCCTTATTCCATTTTCAAAGATACACTTCCACTGCGTGATCTGGTGGAAGTTCCCCTAATTCTCCTGTGGCAATACTCAATGTAAATGACATTTTCACCTGGTTGTTACCTTCTGCTCTTCTCTTTTCTCCTCTCCTTGCAGCAGGGTTTGGATTGCTCTCGCAGGACAAGTATTTTCAGCCTGCTTAATAGTTGCCAATGAACTACTACTAACCACTCTGCTCAGTGCAGCCAGGGGAGCTGATTTCACACCCGCTGTAACCCTAAATCCATTAGAATACCATACAGAAGGGTTTCAACGCACTGTGCTCAGGCTTACTGAGCCTGTAAGGAGAAGAGTAAAGATTCAAAACACTCCTACCTGCCAGCTTATTTTGGCAGAACTCGTACCTAACCCCCAGCAGAGACCAATTTATGGTCACACATTTGATTTAATCCATTTCTGTCTTCCCTAACATTTTTTTCTGATATACTAATTTCTGAGTTGCTAGCCCATCATTAAGCCTTAGCAGCTAAACACCTGCCCCAAACACTTTGGGCTGGTGTTGCACTGCAGGGTTCTCAGCTTGCTAAGAGCAATTGGCCTGAAATCATCACCGGGCAGTTCAGCAGAAAGCAGTGCTTGGGCCAAAACACACTGTTATGCAGCAAGTCAGGAATGCTAAACCTTTGAGGACAATTGAGCATCCTGCAGCACAGCAAACCCCAAATGCTGGGGTCAGCCCTGAGCATCCAAACTGTCACGGTCTGAATACACACACACAGACAAATGCTATTTATTTACTCACTGTTTTTTGCCAGCTGAGATACAGTTTGAAAATTTAAAATCTAGCCTGCTACAAAACTAAATTTTCCAACATCTCTGGCGTTCCTAGATTTTCTCCTTAAGCAGTATCTGTGTTACAGAAAGCAGTCTGTATTTCATATTCACAACCACAAATACTCAAGCAAGGAGCCACAAGTATTTTACGAGCTTAGAAAACCAGACTGGATTATTAAGTAAAAACAACTATCACAACACATCTCTGATCTCACAGCCAGATCAGCACAGATCATTTCCTTCCACACAAAAAGCCAGCAGCACTGCTAACGGTTTGCTGCCACATTCTGTAGTGTTCCACACAGTTTTGACTGTTTACAAAGGTGGATAGTGATGGGACAAGAGGAAATGGTTTTAAACTGAGACAGGGGAGGTTTAGGTTGGATATTAGGAAGAAGTTTTTCACACAGAGGGAGGTGATGCACGAACAGGTTGCCCAAGGAGGCTGTGAATGCCCCATCCCTGGAGGCATTCAAGGCCAGGCTGGATGTGGCTCTGGGCAGCCTCATCTGGTGGTTAGTGACCCTGCACATAGCAGGAGGGTTGAAACTAGGTGATCATTGTGGTCCTTTTCAACCCAGGCCATTCTATGATTCCTTAATTTTAAATAATCAACAAAGCACAGCCCTTTTAGTCTTATTTTGTAAGCATTACTCCAAAACCATGAACAGCTTGGCTAAATCCTACAATTCTGCTGCGCTCTGCAGCTGATTTACATAAGACCTTGTTTTAACCATACTTCGGGAAAACAAGGACAAGGACCATCTCCATGCTGAACGGCACACAGGTGGAAGGAAGGAATATTTAGGGCAGAAAGCTGCTGGGGTTCCAGCTGAGCCATCCTCCCTACCTGGAGCTCACACCTCAAGGAGCTGCCTATGGGTAACTCCTGCCTCAAACTCAGGTTGGATACACAGCAACTGGAACATAATTAATGCTCCATCATCCACCAGAAGATTATGCAAACTGTGGGTTAATAAGTTAAGTGGAATCAGGGTTTCTTTTTTTCTTTTTTGCTTTCTTTTTTATTTAAACAAAGTCCTTGGTTTCCACAGAGCATGGATTTCCCATACGCCTGCTTCTGCCCCACTGCACTCGTTCTCCACATGAATCCATCCACACACTTTTAAAACAAAGCAAAACCAAACCTCAAAATCAACGCCTCCGTGTTTTACTACATATGTCGGTCAGACAAAAATCATTGAATGCCTTTGGACAAACATCAGGCTTCAAAAAGAATAATAAAAACAAGCCGCAACAGCCAGGGAGAATCACCAGGTCCCAACACAACCTTAGAATCCGAAATGAAGACTGGGGAAAAAAAGGAACTCTTCCATCTGCTCCAGAGGAACCGTGATAAGCTGTGTGAACCTCACATTCCCTGTTCTAAACGCTCTGAGGTGACAGGAAATAGCACACATAGCACTGAGACTCTTTAATCATTGACACAGCTGTAAAATACGTAGATTCTTCACAAAGAATTCGGTCTACGTAGTGCACAGGGCTGTAGCCTTCAGGAACAGTTCAAGTTAGGCAGTTTTGTAATTAGAATCAACAGAAGAAATAGAAAAGCAGACAGATGAAGGGGCTTGACAGGCACCACAGATAAGATCAGCGGACAAAAAGCAGGGTTACTGCTCAAGCTCTGGCTCTGTTTAATAAATTAAGCTCAACTACTTCATTTACAACACGACCCTTCTGTTTCATTGTCAGTATTTGCCCAAACATCAGCCTCTGCTCCTTAAAAAGGCTCTGAAACATGCTTGGCTTACACAAGAGGCCACAGAGAACGTTACTGAAACAGAAATTCAGCAGTCACCCATGTAGTCAGCCCTAAGAACGGCCACAGTTCTGGAACACTGTTCTTTCGGTGGCACATTCTTCACAAAGCTACAGCTTAACAAGCCAGCATAAATCTCACGCTGTCTCTAAGTGCTTCTTCACCACATTTGGGGAGGCACACGGGGAACCAGATTGGACAATGGCTCCAGCTGGAAGCGGAACAAAATCACACTGATTATTTTTCACAGCGTTTTCCTGCCTGAACTTACTGCCTGACTGCCAAAAAACCACAGGTCTGTTCTGCCAAGGGGCACAAGGAAACAAGGACAAACGCAATATGGAAAGCAACATCTTCTTTCACTGCGAAGCAACATTTGTGGCAGCAGCAAGTCATGCCAGCATCAAGTGTTTCTGTACTGTGGGTTAACAAAGGTGAAGCACTGGCTTTTGCCCTCTCTGTCCTGCCAAGCCAGCTCTTTCTCCAGCTGTGAACTAACTTGTTTGCTGAATGATTCAGTCTTAGGAAACACTTTCTGTTATTTATTTTTTTGGGTAAGATGGTTTTGCAGAACTGAGTTTGACAATAGCACTACGCACGACTGAACTGGCAGATCCCAGGGAGCCTGAGAAAACAAGAGCCCATTCTAAACCAAACCTACTGCCAAAGTAACAGAACCAGTCCTGGAAAATGCCTCAGCTCAAAGGGGCCGATTATTCTCTCAGAAAGTTCTCGTAAAAGGAAAAAAAAACACCTCCATGTGCACATGTGGGCTTTTCATTTAGCTTTAGATTTTAGAAAGAAACTGTTTCTTCAGGATTTTGTACCCTCCACTCCTTCCTCTTCCTGCTCCCAATTCAACCTCCAAACACGAGCAATGTGAGACACAGTCTGAAATTAAACATTTAATTTACTTCTAATTTATTGTATTTTAATCACCAAAGAAACTAGTGTGTCAGCCACTGACAGCGGGCTGTAATTATGGCACCTTACTATGCAGATTTAGCTTGTTTGTTTACTGTTACTCGTGAACCTAGATGTTCCTGGACAAGGCTTTCTATTGGCTTACAAAGAAAAAAACAGCAGTGCAAAAAAAGTGACTGTTTCCTGCAAAAAAGAATAGTTACCACTACACCCTGACCTAAGTCTATAGCCCAGATGGGAGGTCATGACTCCTCTTCAGGCTCAATTTATGCTCCCCGGAGCCTCAGAAATGTTGTTACAGGCACCTAGCAGAGCCAACTTCAGCCCCAAAGATCCCTACTCTGGTTATGTGGTGACACTTACTTAAACCTGAGTACTTTTTAAGTGCAACACTTTCTATCAAGTGTTTGTGGGCATTCCTGGCCTCAAATCAAACATCCTAGGCACTAGGCAGCATTGGACACGTCCATTACGCTGTTTCAGAGATGAAGAAATTAGCTTTATTACCCTCTAAATGCCTGTCCATACAGCCACTTGGCAAACAGAGATGCCCAGCTATTCCTTCCACACTGTGTTACTCAGATTTTTGGATACAGCAGGACACAACGCTGCTCAGCTCAGCACCCCTTTGGGCTTTCCTCAGGCTGCCTAGCACTCAATTCTAGAAATGTGTTTGAATTAAGGGAGGAAGGAAAGAAAAATCATGTTAAGAATGGCTGCTCTGTATGCTCTTTCTAGCCAACAGTTCCAACACCAGCACCACTGCTGTTAAAGGCAAAATCCTTCAGAACTGCTCAGAAGGCCTCCACGACACGCGGCTTCCTAACTGTGCTATGTGAGCTCTGCATGAGTTGCCGACATGGGACTTGGAAAACCTGAGCACAAGGCTCCTGTTGCTACTGCTTGTCCTGTGGACTAAACCCAAGTTATCATTAAACACAGACACGTGCACATTAAAGGAGCCTTAGAAATGCAAACCAGTGGCTAACACCTCACTCCCAACAAAGCACTACATACAGCGAGGGCAGTCTCATAGCAATCTGCCCTGAGGAGGAGAAGGAAATAGAATTCTTCTTGTCCCCTCCCATGCTGAAGATAAGAACTGCATCCTGGCATACACAAAAAACAGCCCAACAAATAATTCCTGATATTCTGCTGTGTGTCAACAGTGACTGGCTATGCGCACATCCAGTCAAGAACTACTGAATACCTTCTAAAGACCATAGAATCGTTAAGGTTCAAAAAGACATCTCGTTCAACTGTCAGCCCATCCCCACCATGCCTGCTGACCACTACCCTCAGTGCCACATCTCCATGCTTCTTACTGAACACCTCCAGGGACCGTGCCTCCACCACCTCTCTGGGCAGCCTGTGCCAATACCTCACTAACCTTTCTGAGAAAAAAAGTTTCCTAAAACCCAGTCTGAACCTCGCCGGCACAATTTGAGGCAAACACCTCTCATCTCATTGCTGTTATCTGGGAGAAGAGACCAACCCCCACTTGTTGCAGCCTCCTTTCAGGGAGTTGCAGAGAGTTGTAAGACCTCCCCTGAGCCTCCTCTTCTCCAGACTGAACAATCCCAGTTCCCTCCGCAGCACCCTGGAAGACCTGTGCTCCAGATCAGTCACTGTTTCACTGTCCTTCTCTGGACACACTCCAGGACCTACATGTCTTTCCCTTAGTTCATAAACACCCCAGGAAGCACTGACTGAAGGCATAGTGACACCGTGCAACACAAGTTGTGATGAGCAATGACAGCAGCTGTTTCTCCAATACCTTTAGGTGGTTCAGTATGGAGCCAAGAGTTAGACTCAATGATCCTTATGTTGCTCTTCCAACTCATTCATTCAATGATTGTTTTTGTGCCCAGTGACTTGGCAGAACTCAAAGCACAATGCTAATACAGTAACAAACAGATACCCCCTATCTAGCCCACAAAACCAAAAAGCTCCAACAGCTCAACACAAGCTATCAAGCAGAACCGTCCCAGGGTCGTACCGGCAGATCCACGCTGACGTCGGTGCCATCCAGCAGAGCCACACGGCAGGTGATGACCGACCTGGCATCTCCAGCTGCCGGGATGTGGGTCGCAGCCCTCTGGGCTTCACGCAGCCGCTCCCGCTCCGCATGCCTGCGCATGGAGCGGCGCCCCAGCGTCCGGCGGAAGAAGCTCAGCATCTTGGCTGGGAAATGCGAGAAAAGGCTTGGGTTAGGTTGTCGTGGGAATGAGAGGCGTAATAATCATGATCATTATTATTATTATTAACTGCTAAGAAAGGATAAGGAATAAAAAGACGTCGGGGACTGAAATTTCCTTGTTGGCTGCAGGAAGCTGGGCTAGGTGACTGTAAGGGTCCCTTCCAACTCAAGCGCTTCTAACGAAGCACCAACGGGACGCCCGTAGAGCCGCGCACACCCGCTGTTCGGGGAGCTCCGGCTTCCACTGACTGCCGGTGACCCCGGAGGACGTGCAGCCGTGCAGGGCGCAGCCCGGCGCCGCGCAGCCCTCGTACAGCCCGCGGCTGACACCAAACGCCTTCTTAACGAGACGCAGCGCTGCCCTCCGAGCCAGAAGACAAACCTCGGAGCTCGCGGCGGCGTCGTGCTCGCGGACCAAAGGGTTTTACACAGATTTTATCGCAGAAACCTCCCCCCGGCCGGCCGGCCGGCGGGACGCATAACTCCCACCCGCGGCCATGGCGCCCGCCTCCGTACGAGGCCGCTCCCGGCGCTCGCCCCGCGGCCCGACCCCGACCCCCGCCTCCCCTCAGGGCCGGACCCCTCACCTGGCGGCGGCGTCGCGCCGGGGCCGTGCGGCGCGGCGGCTGCACGGGGCGGGCCGGGAGCGGGGGGGCGGGCCCGGCAACATGGCGGAGCGATGCGGGAGGACCTCGAGCGGGAAAGAGCCCGCCGCGCCCGGCCGCGTTACTCACTCACCTGCGGGCTGCCGGCGGCGGTTCCGGGCCGAGGAAGGGACGACACGACGACCGCGGCGGGAAGCGACGCGCGGAGGGGACGGACGAGGCCACCGCCCCTTTGCGGGGTGGAGCCGGGGCCGCCCCCGCCCCGAGCCGCCAGGTGGTAGCGGCCGGCGGGGCGCGGCGCTGCGGGGCGGCCCGAGAGGCGCCCGGGGATGGCGAGAAAAGGGCCGGAGAGTGGAATTACTAAAGCACATCTTTATTTTGCAATTAAACAATTAAGATCCACAAGTAAACTATATATATTGTTTCAAGTCTGTACCCAGACAACTATTTGTCAACTGAAATTAAATATATCCACAAAATATGCATAACAGCTTTTTTTTTTTTTTTTTCTTCACATAATAAAATGAGATTTTACCTAAGACTGAAACAAGACCTGTTAATGTTAACTCGCATATCGGTGCTGGGAACTGCTGGTTTTTCGGTAGGACGTCACTGTGTCACTTAATGGCAAGGAATTTCATTTTATCCAAATGAGGACAAATGCCTAAGGCCCTTAATGCATACAGCCGCTGCAGTGACAAAAGCTGAATCTTTTTTACTTCGTCCAGTGTTGACCCATTTCAAGTTTCTATCGTTTCCAATCTGTTGAAGCCAACAAGTGGGTGTTTTAGTGTCCCCCAGCCCACTGCAGGCCTTCATGTCTACAGGCAGAAATCTGCTCAGGGGAACGGAACGTTCTGCTGTGCTAATGGGGCAGCAGGCAGCCTTACAGCTGAAGCTGTCCAGCTCCGAGGTGTCCTATTCACAGCCACCCCTCCTTGGGATGATGACATGGAGATGCTGAGAGCCACAGCTGAAGTGGAAGCTAATTAGTAGAAGGAACTAGCAAAAGATATTGCCACCATCTGATTGTTAATAGTGTAATATTCTAGGTAATATTCTTCCCTTTGGATTTACACAGAGTATATAGCACCTGTTACAGACACAAAACAAAACAAAAAACCCCAAACCTTACACAAAGAGCTCTGCCAAACTGACTGGTGAAAATGGGATCACTGGCAGACAAACCAAACCAAACCAAACAGACCAACTTCTGAATGCATCGGATGCAAGAACGAACTTTGTTTCCTTACCTTACTTTTCCTGTGATGGGTTGTTATGTGGTGCCCCAGCGTACTGTGATCGCTGCACTGGACAGTTTATAGTCTACTCTTTCTGGATATACTCTCCTTAGAGAAAACAGCTTAATGTAAACAGTTGAAAGCCTTTCGCTTTTGTCTCAGCCCCCCCGGCCCAGGCAGAAGAGGGAAGAAGAGACATCTTTAAACTTTGTTGTGCATTACTTTTGGTTATCAAAATCCAAAGTAAAACAAACAAACAGATTTCCAGGCAATTGATCTAATGTTAAAAACAAGGCTTAGCAAAAACATCTACAGTAAACATAGCTAATCTGCAGCTGAGAGAGACCACGGATCAGTGTACCAGTACCCTGTATTTCTATTTGCACTTTTTGGAAATGCAAGCTTTTACGTTCTTACGACAGGACAATCGAAACCATCAGTTGTTAATAATCTGCTTTCTGAAAAGCCCTCAAATACACGAACAGTAACGCAGACGTGGTTGGAGCAGCTGAAAGCATTCGTACCGCGGCGTAACCCAAATCATCTCCGCACAGAAACCCACTGCGCATCTCTCTCCAAACCCAATTTATTTTTTCCGATAGTTCAGTCAGTAGTAAGCATGAGATAAAGTGCTACTATTCAAACATCAAAACACTTTGAGAAAAATCATCCTTTAAAACACAAGCTTGCTAAATATGAAATACCACCAGCAGCAAACTGTCAGCCAGCCCGTGAAACCAAACTTCATCTTACAGAATACAGGAATGATGGATATTTTATTACATTTATTAGGCTACATGGCTCAGAGAAAAAGAGGATGTACTTTTTATTGAAAAGGTGCGTGTTTTCCTCCTGAAACTCTTACCAACTGAGCTCTCAATGAGCAAGTGATGCTTCAGAGAGCAGCTGGAGCTTGCAGGTTATGCACTGCTGCAGTTTGTAGCTGGAGAAGCCCAACAAACTGAAGATGCACAGTGGTAGCAGCTAGCACAGAGCTGAAGTGCAGTGGTGATAGAGATAAATGAGATTGGACAAAACACTGCATTAAAACAGACGCTTTTCTCCTTTAACAGCTTCCCCAGTCACCACTAATTACAATCTGTGCAATTTCATGCAAGATCTACATTTAATCAATGAACATCATCTTATCAGATTTTGATATTTGACCCCAGCATTGAAGGTAGCAATGGAAAACAGCTTTCCAAGTCTCAAGATAAAAGGTGGGTTCTAAAATTAGCAAACACACCCAGCCTGCTGGGGACCTGCACAGTACAAAAAGACTGCAAATGCCCTAAGAAGGCACCATTCCTTTCTGTGTGGAAATCCTAATAAACAGATCTTGAATTTGGACAATATTCAGTTCCTCCCTTTATGCTCAGGGCTGATGATCCTTCAGATGGCCTGCAGTAACAGCTCTACAGTCACAACTACACCGTAAGTATGGGACAACCTGCTTTTGCGTGGAGATTTGTGGATGGTGCATCTGTAGAGTATTTTTCACGCTCGTACCAATTCCCTGAGCCACCAACTATTGCCCACACACCTACACAAACATAAAAATATCACATAGTTCAGCTCCACAGCATGCCTGGAGGTCTGGCATCACTACGCAGGACCTTCTCTATTTCCCATCTCCCTGGGCAGTACTGCTGGGTCTTGGCCTCCATAGGTACCACACAGCTTTTCAGAAGCTCTCCAAGGAAAGCTGCCAGTTTCCACAAGAAACACCTCACATACCTTCATCTCCCTACTGCTTTCTCACCCCTTCTCTCTCGGGTGGTGCACCAGGACATAATCAGTTATTCTAGATATATTTTAGCCTATATGAGATGTAAGCTTCTAAAGATTTAACAGAGAAACACAGAAGAACCTTCAGTTAGCATTAAATGTGGTGTAATAAGACCAAACTGTTAGTCAGAAGTAGGAGAAAATAGCCAAAAACAGAACTTGCAAAAGCAGTGGCTTACTGCTTCAGACACACACACCGTTTAAACCACCAAATGCTTTCTGGATAAATTAAGTTTTCAGCTCTCTGGTGTATCTAACGCAGCATTTCTCAGAAGGAATTGGCTGACAGTCCGTCGGTGATTTACCTGCATCTTATTTCATATTTAGCAATAGTAAAAACGCCCCCCAAAACACACAAAGCCTTCTCAAGAACCTCATTTTTCTGCTAACAGAAGAACCTTCACATCCACTTTAAACAAGAGATGGTTGTGGTAGTTTTGAATTTGAACTGAAAAGGAAAAAGTCTCGATGTTACACATTGGCAAAAGCTCTCATAATATTGCTCTGATTTACAACGGAAACTTATTTCTTGTTTTAAGCTGGATCTGTATATCATGGAAGCATTACAAACATACTCTTTCTCCCCCCACCCAGCATTTTTCCTCATCAATTGGTATGAAAATAATTGTTCGTCAAGTCCAACAGTCGTAACACCAATCACAAACACCAATCACATCCAGTTCATTTTGTCTGAAAGATACATTCATGTTTTGTACAGCATGAAACATACAAAAACTTCTTCAGAAAGTCTGAACGATGATACAGATCTTCATAACCCAAAGTTAAATATTTAGCATTTTGATTTTATTTTCTTTTGGCCGTATAAAAATATCATGAAGGCCATTTATACCACAACAAATACAAACATCTGAGTGAATGATTTATGGTGCAGGAAGCCTTCAGCCTTCTCTTTCCCAAGCAGCTTTTGGTTCCCATTCTGCTGGCTTTCCAGAAGCCAAAAAGCCATTGATTAACTGACGATCAATTAGCTGAGTTTGCCTTTTTTTTCCCCCCCAGTGCAGCTAGTTAATACATAACAGCAGATCAGCTTAAATCAATGCAGAGGAAGATTCTAAGTTTGTATTCTCGCCTCTATTTGTCATCAGAACAGTAATGACAGATGACCAGTAAATACCCCATGTGTAATTGTGGTATAAACGGGTATTTTGAACTCAAACTGCATTGGCAGCTTCACATAACAATAGTTAAATATATGACAAGCCAACACTATTCACGTTGCTATAAACTTATTTTCTCATTCCTCTCAGGAAAAAAATGGGGCAAATGATATTTTTCTTTACAATTTGACTGTGAAAAAAGTGTACTTCACTATAACGGATGGATTATTTTATGTTTTAGATATTAAGTGCTGACTTTAAAATAAGCTTCCAGTTAGCTGGCATCTCAGCTAATAATCTCATCATATGAAAGTTAAAGCTTTAAATTTAATACAGATTTTGTTGTTGTTGTTGCAAATGGCTTAAAATGAAACTGAGATTAAAGCTACTTTATCACGCTTTTCCATTTATCAGATCCAAAGATACTTGTAAGATTCATTTTTCACTGAGGAAAAACATTGATTTAGGCATCAAATCTAGAAATATAAGTAACAGGGCCACAGGCCACCTAGTATTATTTTGTATTCTAAAAATAATTAAAACTATATTTTCCATTTGGCATTGTGGTTCATGTGTATTACTAAGTCGTAAGCCAGGATTTCACTTTGCCTGAATTCCTTTTCACTTAATATTTCATAGCTGATCTCTTTCAGATGTCCACAGAACACCGTATATTATATAATTATTCAATAGTTAAAAACTTTAGTGTAGAAATTTCCATTCCAGCTCTATGCTTTATATAGCTTATAACAAAAATTACTGGATAGACATTTTCAGGAAACCAATAAATTAAGGTTTTTAAATAGAGGACACAGAGTTATGTTGTTGCAGGGCAGTCAAAGAAGTGACTGATTTTGTTTTCTTACAGTATATTACACCGGACACCTTGCTTCTGACTTGGGTTTCTCCTATACTGGAAAAAACATGAAAAACTGGGACCTATCTACGTCTTTAGAGTGAGCT